ATCTTCATTTTGTAGATAATGAAACTCATGATGCACAAACTCACCCCAACCCAAAATTGTATAAGATTTATGATGTATTCATGACATTGTGTGAGAACTTTGGGAAGTGTTACACCCCTAGGCAAGATGTATGTATAGATGAGAGCCTTATGTTGTTCAAAGGAAGGTTAGGATGGGTACAGTACATTCCACTGAAAATTAAAAATAAAATAGGTTTTCATTTCTCTTTACATTTGGTAATAAAATTTTGAGAAAAATTAAGAAAATATGGTAAAAAAATATGGTTTATAGGAAGACGAGTTGACTCGTTTTTGCCGACAAAGGTATTTTCAAAATAAAAAGTTAACCACAAAAATGGGAAGAAAAAATAATTAAAAACTGTTTTCATAACCAGCATCAAAAATACTATATAGAACCAAAATAAAAAAATTAGTCTGAAAAAGAAACGTTTTTAACAAAAAAATTGTTGGGGAAGGGGTTAAAGGACAAGGTCAGGCGGAGTTTTGGACCTTTATGCATGCCTTCCGTCAATACATGACAAATGCGGCCGTCCCAGAGAAGTATAAGCACCAACTGGTCATGGATGCTTGTGAAGAAGAGCTACATCAAGCAATCATGGGATGCAACTATCTAGAGCCAGACCGAGCCTACAACAAGGCAATCAAGATCCTGGAGGAAAGGTTTGGAGAAAAGTATGCATATGCGGACCAGCTGGTGAAAAGGCTCACAGACGCTTGCTCAATCGGGGCGTTCGACGACGATGGGTGCGAAAACTGGCATCTCAGAGGTACATCAGAGCGTATTAGGTCAGATAATGGGACAAACATGGTATGGGCAGCCAAAGAGCTCAAACTGGCTGTGAAAAGTTGGGAGCAAGATGACAGACTCAGAGGTGCCTTACTGAAAGCAGATATTGACTGGGTCTTCAAACCACCAGCCTGTGGGCAGCATAGTCACAAGAACGTGACAAAATTAAATATCAACGGCCCTAGGGCAGCGACAGTCACAAGAAAGTGACAAAGTTAAATACCACCAGCCTGAGGGCAGCATAGTCACAAGAACTTAACAAAATTAAAGTAAAATACCACCAGCCTGAAGGCAGCAGTCACAAGAACGTGACAAAATTTATTTAGTTTAAATGTTTGATTATTTATATGTAGGTTCTGTAGGGAGGTGGATTTTTATGGAGATTCGCTGTAGAGCAGGAAATACAGGGTAATCATCGGATTTGAAAGACTGTGCTTAAATTCTCCTACATAAATAGCCTTAAGAAATGGTGACTTAAAGGTGTGTCGCTCAAGCTAACACAAACAAAACCTATCCTGAGGGAAAAATTCTTCCTTAAGGTAAGTCAAAACATTGAGGAGGAAGAGCGAAAGAAACCGGATACTTCACAGACAGTATTAAATAGCAGGGCCAATAAACATTGTGCTGCAGCTTTACCGAAGATAGTTTTGAAAAAATCTTCCTTGAGTAATAATAATTAACCCAACTAAATAACCACCAACACATTTTATTCTGATGAAAAGTGAGACCTAGTGTAGCATCAAACAAGAGCTCCCACCAGCCTCCCCATTGCCACTTACTTTGAGGTGTGTATGTAGAGGACAACAGATACAGTAAGACCTGAGGGTCTAGTCTTGTCTGAGTGAATTTAAGTAGCACCTTATTCACTCAATGTGTTAATAAATATTGAATTAGTAATCAACGAGTATTACCACTCTATTCCTTCTAAACATTGGTTCCCAGAAAATAATACTTACTCACGTGCCTATACACACCTACCACACTACCCAAAAGTTGTCCATGAGTTATGTTATTCTAAAAAGTCTGGGTGGTGGCAGCTTACCCCTTGTAAGTATAATAAGTGTTGTACTAAGAATAACATGGTTCCCCTGACTAACCCATGTATGATAATATAAGTAAACCAGAGTATACGTCCGCAAGGTAAGGACATATAAATTCAGAAAATATAATATTATATATGAAAAGAAATGAAAGACTTGGAAACTATAGCAGAAAAATATCAGAAGTACTTATATAAGAATATATCTTAATTGAAGAATAATAACAGAAAAGAATATCTGGATAATAAAATTGAATACAGGAAATGTGCCCGTTACAAATAGTGGCAGCTTAGATGGAATATAAAATGAAAGAAACCGCCCAGTACAATAGAACCATCGTCCCTTGTGTAAACACTAATGAAAACAATGGCGTCCTGTCTCTTGTGTGACCATATTATTATTCATTGATATTGTATAAGGTGCATTCATAAACATTTTTTAAAGAATATAGTTTGCACTTTTAATTAATTTTTTTGTTTGGGGGAAAAGAGGGTTAAAAAAAAAAAAAAAAAGATGTGAAAAGGCCACACTAGGGAACGGAACTCATTATTGCCGATTTATTTTAATGGTAATTAATGATTCACAGTCATGGTCACGTTGACTGCTAGTCTGTTTAACTAATGATTCTTATTAAACTCCACGACCGCAAAACATGAGAGGATAGCTGGTTAGCCATCCCTGAGAAGAAGACGTGTTTTCCCCATCGACGCTTACACTTGAGTTCCCTCCCAGTTTGTCCCGATGAAGACGACAGTTGTCAATACGTTGTTTATTCCACTTTTTCCTGCAAGCGAATTAGTCTGTGTAAATCAACTCAAGTAATTCGCCAGACCTTTGTCAACTGAGGGTCATCCTTTGTTTGTAATTACTGTCATTGCGTGAGTAGCGATCGCTGGCAACTCAAGAGGTATATATACAGTATACCCCGGGATCAGGCAGGGCTAGCGTCCCCTGACGCCATGCTCTCCCGTTCCTCCAGGTATGTTCATGTGTTCCCTAGCCATTCAGTTTGATTCAGTCATTTGTGGTGAATATCAGTGTTCATGCTTCAACAGTTGAATTGTCATTCACCCAGTGTAAGAGTAATATAACGTAAATATGTCTGTCATTCCCAGACAAGAGATTTGTTTTGTGTTGTTCATGCTTCTCGTTCCTCCAGATCCAATTGTGACTCTTGGATTACTCAACAACTACCCCGGATGCAGTAGATACCCAGCAGGGATCAATATATGAAATGAGGGCACCGATGCGGCATGATTAATCTGCTCCACTGCCTCGTGGAGCCAGACCCCAGACTCGCCATGTGTCTGGCTACCCCTGACCACAGCAACGGTCGTGAGCCCTAGTGCTCTACCCTGGGACACTCCCTGGAAGTTATAGGTCCACAGAGTGTGTTGTAATATGTATGAAGGGAATAATTAGCAGGAAATAATTATCCAATGTTGGGTAGTGGACCCATGTATATCTGCTGGTTTCCGTATTAACATGTATGTTGTGAGTGCACCTCATATGCACTACCAACAGTCAGTAAGTTGTGTAAAATCCCTTGCAAGGTGTGAGAAGTAAAGTTGTCCACTTGGGACTAGGAGTAAAGTCGTGTGACTGTAATGAGATGTACCACTAGAAGATGTGGGTGAAGTAAGTACCCACTTGGAGTGGCAGTAAAGTAATCTACAAGGAGTTGCCATGTACTATGTATTGTGAGTAGGGCCAAGGAACTGGTCCTGCTATGTAATGTAATGTAACACCAGTAAGGTTGTGTGCAGTAAGAGTGTAATATGTGAGTAATTGATTTTGAGTAAAAATAAGAAAACAAGTAAATAAGAAAATACGTAAAGAAGAAAATACTGAGTCTGCAATAAGCCCAGGAGTTGAGCCTGGTAGTTATATGTTAATAATATCTCTTTTTCCCTTTGATTTCATATTAATAAACTTGTTCTTAGAGTATTTTGGGAGTATTCATTTCTCCCACAGTAGTTACCTTTATTTCCGTCCAAGTGACTTGATACCAGAATTACCATACCCATGTGCCTAGACCCTCGACCATGCTACCAAAAAAGAACTGAGGTTATGCAGTAACCATTGAAGTAAGTACAAAGAACAATTGAATTAAAGAACTAAGACAAGAGAAGTAAGATAAGGGTGGTGTAGGTGTTGGAAAACACGCGCCCTTACATCATGATATGATGATTCACCTTACACTGCAATATTGGAGGACACTACCTTGGTCATTCGAGGCTTTACTGTACTAGCCCGAACCGAATCACATATATTTTGTTTAAAACAATGTTTTGCGCGTCATTCTGGCGCATTATTTAAAATTTTGCGCCCAATGTTCTCTGGGCACGCTACACTGTCCTAAGGGCAAAGCTGTACTGTACATGTACTCAAAATAATGTACTAAATGATTACTAAAATTTTTGTCTAATGCAAACTATAACATGTTTACATTCAAAGTAATCACTATCATATAAGAATCCCAGCAATGTAAATTATATTCTCCCATGTCAGTTTAGTGACATTTTATAAGAGAAAAACTTTAAGTCACTCTTAAGGACATAAATACATAAGTAATAGACCTTGGCATCAACTGTTACACATATCAGCCCCCCTCCCCCCAGCCAGTAAACAGACCATTTTGCATCCCTTAATTTTACCTGTGTTGATTTCTGAGTGTTTATTTTAACATAATACTACAAAATACAATGTTTTGTTTATTCTAGGAGAAGGGCTGAGGTGCATCTGGGTAGACTCGCTCAATCTTTTTAGTATTTTGTGTTTCTCTCAAGTACCAAACTAAATTATTCCATTGAAACAACACTTCGATTTAGTGTGAATTCGGTTTAAAGAGGCGACCTCTCTTGGAGCGCGTTATATCAACATTCTACTGTACAACAGTGTGGTAAAGGTAACATTTGCATATTTCACTTAAGGATGATGTCCATAATGCTGGAACAGTAATTACACAAGACTCCCAAGTATTTTCTGCCAGCTTTCTCGGAGGAGACTCAACATAAGACCTTACAATATGCAAGTAAAAGCACTTGTATAATAGCTAAGACCTTGGTGTCAGATCTATAATATACTGTACTGTATCTTATCTCTACATGGCGAGTATCAGGAGTCACTATGGTACTGTATATTCTTGTTACATTTAATACAAACTTTTACATCATCCTTACGATACCGTCATTACCTTCACCTGCATTAACGGTTCATGCAAGAATGCTGGGCCCGTCCAGGTCGACGAATCCTCGCCGTCAGTCTGTCACCTGGTAGGGAACTGATGAATGGCGTTTCCACAACAGGAATCCTACGAATATACCTACACAAGTTCCTAGGATGGCCATGGAGAAACCTAGGCCAGCCATGCTGCCTGCAGTATAGCCAGCCTTGAGGTAACGCATTGACTTATGCCTCATATGGGGATGCAGTGCCTCAGTTGTTGTCTCAAGAGATCCACTTTTGATTACCACAAACTGAAAAACAAAAACAAAAGTGAACACAGGTCATACGAGGCACTAAATAAGGCAGACAGCTGCTGAAAGTGTGACATCTTCATTTTTTGGACATGTACAGATAAACCTACCATATGTGAAGTACAGTGTGTGGTCCAGCATCAGGGTGTTGGCATTATTCACTCTTTTACAACCTTTGTCACTAGCTGGCCATATCTCCCTTAACTCTTTTTAGCGGTCTTATCTGTCCTATCACATGTCTCCCCCTGTACCACTGTCCTGGTTGTACCACCAACATCCATTGTGTCAGAATAATCTATGAGAGATTTCCGGGTAACGAGACGACTCTCTCAAAGCCGGAAAAAAATCCACCATCCCTGATTTTTCCGGGTAAGGGGAAAATTTTCTCGGAGTTCCAGAAATTGCCCTATTCATCAACCCTCAAACTCCCCCGTCTCCCGAATTTTCCAGGTACCTGGAAATTTTTTTCAGAATTTTCCGGAAAATGTGCCCATCAGAAAATCCTTCCCAAAGCCGGAATTTTCCAGAAAATTACGACTTTGGGAACTATTTTCCGAGAAAATTTCAATTCAGGCCATCGGAGTTCAGGTTTGAAAGATTCTGGCTAATGGAGATATTACTGTACAGGTACTCCTCTACTTAAGAACGTTCAACTTACAAACTTTCATAGATGCAAACATCTTCACTGGGGAAGTTACCTGCCAGAACAGGTGTTTAATGTGGATGAGACTGGATTATTTGGAAGAAAATTCCAGATAGAACAAACATTATCTAAGAGGAGAGGTGAGAGCCAGGTTTTAAGGGTATAGCTGGACTGTACTAAATATTCATAATCTTTTAATTTTTTACAATGTTTGGTATCTACAAGAGTAAAGTTAGACTTAAAAACAAGCCTCAGGAACGTAACTCGTTCGTAAGTAGAGGAGCACTTGTATTGTCTACAATATATATATATAGTACAGTACATGCTAAATTTTATACAGTACAGTACCTGCGTTGTCTATACACGGTGAATCAATGTAAACTCTTATAAAGACTTTTCTCAACATCCAAAAATAAATTAATACATTTTTTTTATTTGTTGTAATAAAAACCAAGAATGTAAAACCAATGTCCCCTAAACCTTACTGTATAATGATGATACTTACAAGTTTCTTCTTGGGAGACAGATCAAGTTTTATGGATACATTGTGCTTCTGGGTAATGTCATGCAACAGTTGATAAGCATCAGCCATCATGAGTTGTGGGCGGGGAGTCAGGACGGGTCCGGTCACATCAGGTTTCTCAAGCAGCACAAACCAAACGTCCACTTCTCCTGGGGCTTGGCGACTGCTCAGCTGTTGAGAGTCACACTTAATGTTACAAACAAATTTAAAAGAAAAAATTCTTACTTATGTACCAGATAGAGAGAGGACAGCAAAGAGCAGTGCCTATATTTTACAAAATACAGATAAGCACACTATCTACGATGGTATTCAGATTTTTTTTTTATATGCCGTATAATTACGTTGTCTGAATGCATGACTACCTGGTATACTCTATTTTTTATACAAATATCTAAGCAGAAGTTGTAGGAACCACTGACTCCAGCTAGCAATCAGATATTGGGGTCACTGTCAGTGCAAATGTTGGCCCAATGTTGACTACAAGCACTGGCCCGAGTCATTTTATCTGCTGACCCAACACAAACCTTCAGTGCATCAGATTGTTAGCTGGCTCATCTAAAAAGTCACTAGGTTTTAAAAAGACAAAGTCACTCACAAACAGATCAGTGACCCTCAAGGGGGAGACTCCAGCAATACCAGCCATCGCTCTCCTGATCGAATTTTTTGCGGCTTCTAAATTATAGTGAACAAGTTCACTATAGGAGACCTCTAGCGTGAACTTCAGGAAGAGCCGGTTGATGCGGTTGAGGCAGGGGGAGATGTCAAACTGATGCCATGAAGGGTGGCCATCTCTGTATTCATAGAAGAATGTGTGAACTACAGAGGACCAGTGGCTTGGGTTATCCTGAAATGAGACAAAAATGATACCTGATAATGGTCAATGTAAACATGAGTCCCTGTGTGTGTGTGTGTGTGTGTGTGTGTGTGTGTGTGTGTGTGTGTGTGTGTGTGTGTGTGTGTGTGTGTGTGTGTGTGTGTGTGTTTTGCTGTAAGTTGACCACTTTAATTCCTTGATTTAGACAAGCACACAGTAATTAAGTTGGATCATGGCTGGGACTGCTACTGTAGTCTTTGAAATTTTTAACCCTTTAAAATGATAAAAAATAAAAAATAAAAAATAAGTAAGAAAGGCTTATATATTGACCCTCGAGAAACTTCTCTGGCCACTCAGAGGGAGGGAGGAGGGGATAAAGAGACAGTGTTGATTTGACAGCTGACCTCATGGTCCCAATGCACTTAGCAGCTATTTTTAGCTCGCCTTTATGTCAGAAGTGGCCAATAATGTATGTATTTAATGATCTTAATACTTATTTGTTATAAATAATTCATTTAGAATAATTTATTTGCATAATTTTTCATAAAAAAGTGCTTGGCAACAATCACCAGTGGGTCGCCAGTCTGCCCGTCTGTCTTTGTGTTTGGTAGAGCAAGTAATGCATCAAATAATAATAATTCCACAAATAAAAACATTTATAACAATCAAAGCATTATTTTACAGTAATACAACTACACTACTTTTTACAATATTACTTTGATGCAACACGATAAAATGGACAAACAATGGAAATAGAACAAACAAAAGGAAATTATGTTCAGGAAGCTTCCCTGTGGTGTGACAGGCAAATAGTTACACTGGAACCCGATAACCCATGCTGGGCCTTTAAACAGTGGCAGGAATACGTTCACGTTCTGGAAAGTCACCCGGGGCGCGCTGGTCAAACGTTCTGGAACATCACCCTGGGCCTAAGGGTTAAACATAATTTTCCCAACCTCCGACACACACACTCTCCTCTCTGAAGGCCGATGATCACATTTAATTTCACGTCCATTGCGATTGTTTTTCGTGCCTTTTTAGCTTTAGGTGTCCCAGAGGCAGATGGGTGTTTTACAGACATGCTCAATGGGGGAAACGGCTTTTAACACTAAAAAGGTAAGTGATAAACACAATGCAAATTGGAACACAGAGAAGTAGTAGTGCTGGTGTGAACTGAGAAAGTGATACCCAGGAAGCGTGATGGATGTGGTCAAGTTGTTGTACAGAATACTTCATTATCTTCACCATTAGAAGTAATAATCTTTATTACTACATTATTATAATTATTATTATAAAATTGTTGATATGACTGTGACTTTATAGTAATAACTTATAAGTACCTCACCAGGCATCACACGCAACTCCACTGCCAGGCGACCAGGTGAATACACGAGGCAAATTTAAACTGTCTTGAGCGCGTCATTTAAAAAATAGGTGCGTGTAAATTAGCTTTTGGTATTAATTGAACAATCGCGTTGTTCCAAAAACGCTTAAATCAAATGCACGTAAAATGCTAGTTACCTGTACATAAAATAATCTGGACCAAACTCTTATCACAAAGAGACATTTTCAGTAATCTACAGTATACTCCCAACTAGTGCACTTACATTATCAGCCATATAGGAGGAGATACCAATGGGCACCTGGCGAACCTTGTTGAAAACTTCTACCTCAACAGTCCAGTTCTCGTGAGAAAAGTAGAGCTCAGCAGTAGTGTAGCGACCCTTCCTAGTGCCCCGCTCTGCCACCCACACGTCACACAAGATTCCCCTCACTCGCCTCTGTTGATTGAGGTTAAAGCATAAAAAAATATTCTAATCCAATAACAGTTAAAGTAGGTAAACATTTAAAACTATCATTACCTTCCCCTTTTAATTTGAACATAAGCAAACAACCAAACTGGTGCCAGCACTCGCACACCTCCCTTACCAAGAGACAAAGGTCTTCAATTGCTTGGTTTAGTATAAAAGGGAAGGGGAGACTAAATACAGTACAAGTTTATAAGCACTTCAAATGTGCACTGTACTACATCTGGGGTTAGTGAATGACTATCCACATCAGTACACTAAACTTTGAGAACTTACTTGTTTCTTGTGAAAGATAGGAACTTTTAATAACCTCCCACAAGTTGAGAGAATTATCAGGATTTTTTTTTTTAAGTGCTAGTAGTTAAATTTTGGAATAACCTGCCAGACTACAGGGGGTCTCCGAGTTACGAACGGGTTCCCGGGTTCCGTTCCTGGGGACGTTCGTAAGTCAAGAGACCTCTTGTATGTTAGATCGCACCATGTGAACTCACTCCAGACCAGACTTGACCAATACTGGCACAGGTTCAGATACATTCATGAGCAAGTTATGCCCAGTACTTGCCAACAGTATGCAAGAGAGCTGTGACCAACTGCCCAAGCAGCTAATCAGTGGTGCAGATAAGTAAAGTAAAAAGTAAACTGGTAATTAAAAACTGTTGGTCGTACTGTACAGCAGGAATATGTATCTCTCATAACTCTTGTACTGCGCACATCATTGTCATTCCTAAACCCTCTTTAATTCATATTATGCTACATAACATTCAAATCCACCGCGCTGGTAAAATCTCAGAAAACGGGAAACATTGATAAAGGATAACTCACCTACTCAATGTTACTGAATCATTTGTTGAATTGTACCCAAGTACGTTATATAATACGTATTAAGTGTATGTACTCATAGCGTTAAGGAGAACTCAAGGTATCTCTAAGATGGTTGGGAAAGTCCAATTGATCCGGGCTAGTGTACTATCCGGGCTAAGTGTAGATCGTGGGTTAAAGGTCATACTATTTCATATGTGAACGTTTAGCGAACATAACTCCGCAGATATCATATGAAAATACACGAGAACAATGATCTGGAAAAAGGTAAATGTATCAGTTAATGATATAGCCCAATTAATTTCCCCAGGAACTGTCAAACTTGAGCAGTACTTTAGTATGTAATTTAGGAATAAGATATGTATTTATAAGGCATAAGGTCACAATAAACAGGAAAGTGTTCGTGTGAGAACCATAAGAAATCGAAGTGAAAATTAAATATTGGAAACTGTCGACCTAGTCGGTGAGAGGCGGCAGGACACTGCCCTCAGTATCCTCCGTCTTCTCATTGAAACAGGTCAGTGTTCTCCATCGGGCTACATCCAGCCCTAAAAAGACTTATATAGCAGTTACTACAGCTTAAAACTTTGCCTGATGTATAAAGTGAAGTAGTAATGTGTTAGGGTGGGTAATAACGGCCCATCAGGCATTATTTCTGTGTATCCTCCGTCTTCTCACCGAAACAGGTCCCACGCGGTCAGAGCCGGCCATTACCCCTGTGAGGTGCTGGGAAGCCACTATGCCCATCCACTGTGAACCTGTGGATTCTCTGCCTATCACCCCTTACTAATATGTTAAGAAGATTCACGGGCGTCAGTTGGAGCGACCTATAATACCAGGCGTAGAAACAGTACTGGTATGTTTACAGATGGAACACCCCTCTCTACCCACCCAGGGCGAAGTGTGAACGAGGGGCCTGATATGTGTGCCTAGAAATCACAAGGAATCCCATACTTGCAGGTGTGGAGTATAACCGGGGTGTGGTGAGGTGATGTTACGGTGGTGAGATCGTGCTATAATGTTTAATAATCTAAGGTGCTATATTCCAAACGAATGGGGCAGTCTGATGTGTTAGGTATTATGGTAAGAAGGGATGACAGAGGTATGGTCACTGATTGTTATGAGCAATAAGTATGTGGATATCACGCAATTAATGTAAGACGTCTGTTGTTGAGCAGTGTAACTAGAATCATAGTTGTTCTTCTGAGGAAGGCCAACTCTTCTTGTATTTTGACGGAATGCAATATGTGTTATAAGGAATAAATTAGTTAAGACATGTTCTTGTTTCACCCTTCTTTCCCTTATCGATCTGGTCAATGAAAAACCCAACCCAATGCCTAGTTCACTCTGCCCGCTACCTAACGAGCTACATACTGTCCAGAGGGGGTCCGGTGGCAGCGACCTTTAACATCAAGATATATTAAGTTATCCCCCTTAGGATTAGTGACCCCAGAATCTGGCAGTATACTGTGCCATGGGTTTAGAGTCCTGGCCTGAGACACAAATGAGAAAGGTGTTATCCAGTGTGACCCAACCAAACCTGGTAGGTACCCAGGCCTCAATGTGGGTCAGTGACCTGTGCCCGGGTGGGCTAATCCCCGTAATTTTTTTTTTTGTTTTTTTTGTTTAGGAGTTCGGGATTGACGGTTAATCTGAAAGTCAGTTAATCGAGGGTCAGTTAATCGAGGTTTTTCTGTAAATGAATAACTACATTATCTTAGAATGAGAGCAAAACCAGAAACTAACCGTGCCTTTGTAGAGATACATTTTGGGGTCTATGAAGATGAGCTCTGAAGCATGACGAAGACGGATGTGCTGATTTTCTGTGGGGGCAGCATCCAGGGCTGACACTGGTATACCCTGGATGGTGCAGTTGCTGGTCTTCTCGTTGATCATGTACTGTATACCTGAACCAGTGAGAGGATGGTAGAGCCAAGAATAGACATACATTGTGTTTTTATTAAAGGGTTGTTGAAACAGTTAAGAAACATTATGGAGAACAAATGATGCAGGTACTCTACACAAAGGTGCAGAATTTAATACTGTACATATTTAGGTAATTAATGCACACCTCTGCACCTTATTACAGGAGTAAGAACTGACCTGTCTTGAAGTCATGGATAACTCTGTAAGTTTCAGTGGTGAAGTCTGTAAGCCCTGGGATGCTGAGGAGAAACATGCCATCTGCATGTAGGTGTGGTAGATATGTGAACGACACCAGCTTCTCCTCAGACTCATAATACTGTGACTCATAAGCAATAGTTCCCAGGTTCTGGTGAAGGAAAAAAATAAAAAAAATAATGAAAAACAAAGTTAAGCACAAAGTGTTCGTTTTACCTCATCACATGTAAAGATTAACTGGAATGAATATGACAAAGTGATATAAATGATTTGTTTTGCTTTGAAAAGAGAAGGGAACACTTGACATATGCTTTGACAATACTGTACCACTAAAATATAAGACATGTACAACAGATTTACCTCTATCACTGTCTCCATTGTCAGGGAAAACTGGTTAGAAAGTTTGGGCAGGAACTTCCTCTTAAAGGCAGGGCAGAACAAGCCAGGTGCAGTGTTGACCAGAGTGTGGGCCGGGTCAGTGACCAAAGCCCACGACTTAACCTGGTATTGTAACGATAAAGGTCCACGAGGCAAGTTGAACACCCGACCTTCCGTGATAAATAAATGAGACGAGTTATTGACTTAATCTTATATGACACTACAGCATTACCAAACAGGAATTCATCATCTCCAAGGTTAAATGCAAGGAAATGTACAGTACATGGTAGTCATACAGTTTAATATTTTTTTTTATCATCATATTTAACCTACCTATTAAAGCATTCCAAAATATAGCATTTAGCTACTAGATGCATCATAACAATGCCCTGTGCACACCTGATAACAATGACTTCCACGTCATTATCTCACAGTTCTTATCTGTGATGGCTCACTCTCCCAGGATGGTCCCCTCAGAGGGCTATTACTATACTTTTCTTTTAACTTCTCTACTCCACCTGTAATAAACCAATGCAGGACCTTCTTAAGGATACCTCCAGGTGGACAGTCTCTATACCACCACACATAGTACAAAAGTTCCCATCTCTAAGGAAAAGACTAATGATGAAGAGGTACAATAATAGATACACTTCTTACCTGCTCCCTTCACAGTGAAGGACAGAGGTGCTAGAAGACCTACAGCAGTGCGGGTGTAGAAAGCTTCCACAACCATGTCCTGCTCTCTTGACTGCCACATGACCATTTCCTTTCCATCTGTGCCTCCAATCCACTCCTGTTGGCAGCAGTCACACACATTACTGTACAGTGAGAGCTTTGTTATAGAAAGGGAAGTGGTGATTAAGTTAATGTATGCTCATTACAACCAATTGTACCACATGAATACAAGTATAGAAACATAGTTGAAAAATTCCTGGACCCCGACCTCTGTTATTTAACGAGATTACCCATTTTGGTTACAGGGTACCGAGGTTTACGCCCTTATACTGAACTCTGAGCATCGCTGAAAGCTCTGTAAAAGCACTACATGAGGCTGTATGATGTTTAAGGGAATGTCACATATTTGCCGACTTGTTTTTAAGTAAGAAATTGATTTACTTATTGTAAGGTATTTAATCATAAGGATACTGTGGTAAGATACTGTACTGTGTATGAGGAATATTTTATAACTTTCATCTTAAGTATAGTAAAAAATTTATTTGCTGGGTTCCGAGTTAAGGAAAACAGTTCCAGGAATAATGAAATAAGTAATTATACCTGTGAAGAATTGGCCTTCATTGTACTAAGATGATCAAGGACTGTGCCCAGCGCAACGTACGGCCGGCAGAAGCGATTGTTACAGAAGCAATTTTGGGGCAGAGCTTGATAGCGTCTACACTTCACACCTGTGTCACCAGGGCAACAAAGTATAAAAATAAATAAAAAAATAAAATAAAACATTAGGAATAAGTCATTGCAGTTATAGTGATATCATGATTATTGTAACATCCATTTGCTACAAGTACTGTAATGTACTTGTTTCACAACTTCCAAATGTTTCATTATCACAAACTTGTACTGTGTCCTCCCCACCACACTTCCTGCATCACCACTTACCCTCCAGCAAGAAGCCCTCTGCATTGTCAATGCTGTACACACAGGAAACATTAAGTTTGTCAGCCGTGATGGTATGGCTCGCCCAGCTGTCTCGTTGGCGCTCCCTCACGGTGAAGCTTTCATTATTGGGAACGTCGATCACCTCTACCAATAGTTCGTATTGCTGAGGACAGAAAGTACGCAACATGTATGACTGACAAAATTTTTTAAATATATTTATTTTAGTTCCCTGATGATGTTAGTTAGCATGCATCCAATAATTAACTGATCACATACAGGAGACACCTGAAGGGCACAAGAAAGGAGGATAAATGACAGTGTCCTGCATGACAACTGTAGGAGCATCATGCTGACAAAGACCAGAACCAAGTACAGTACACGCTAGGCGGGCCACATTACCCGTAATGATAACATTAAAGAACAGTACAGTACTGTACCAGACCGGCCACTCTAAACTCACTTAAAGAATGACAAATGTAATGCTACTGGGCAACAGAAGTAGTACTGTACCAAGATACTCTTAACCCCTAAACTGTGACAAGCATCATACAAGATTTTCACACCAGTCAAGCTAAACTGGCCTCAGCAGGACTTTCAGTTACCTACAGTATCAATCATGAAAGACAGGGTGCATCCTACCCAGCCTTGGTTACTTGGCCCGACATGCTCACTGAACACTCCACCATGATAGAGCAAAAATAGATAAAGGAGGATATTTTTCTCCATATTTCATACTTCTGCTGCTTCTCCCTAATCATGAATACCACAATACTTCACTGTACTGTACTGATATTGCAAATCTTGAAGCATCATTGGACATTTAAATACTATATGCGGAGTTTAATGCGAGACAGTTTTAGGCTTACAGATACTTTCATCTCTATAACAAATCACTGAATCATCCTCAAAAAAGTTATAAAAAGAACTGCAATTCATTCATAAGCTGTATTCCCAATTTGTGGCTTACAGATGGAAGTGACGGTACAGGAAGGGACAGTTGGGTAGGCGGTGCTGGTGAAGTGGGCGGTGGGCGGGCAGGCCTTTGAGTCTTCCTGATAGTAGGAGTTGATCTGAGTATTGGCGTGTCCTTGTTGGTCGAGTCATCGTCTGGTTCACCTGTTTAATAAAAATCACTCTCAACCTAAACTACTCGTATATACTTTCAAAGTGGTAGAGATGAATGGGAACCGAGTGCTTGGTATGTAGACCTGTTAATGGTGCTATATATGAGTAGTGTTGTGTGCTCTTATACATGTACACACAGTCATGGTGTAAGTGGAAAATGTACCGAAGTTTAACAGTACAAAATGAGTAAAGCTAGGGAGTTGACCCCAGTAGTTGGGTGTTCCTGATATTATTCGTAAAATATAACTTCATTTTATTATTTTAATAAACCATTTTATTTGTATGTTAGGAGTATTATTTACCTGAAGTATTTTACCGTCATTCTTTTCCATTGCTCGATACCAGAATTACAATGTACCCACGTGCCTTAACCCTCGAGCCACGCTACCAAAGGTCAGAGATTATGAAATACTGTAACTATGAAGTAACATACCGGTAACTAAACTATAACTACCATCTATACTTTATGAATAAGAAAAATAAAGAAAAATAAAGATTGAAGAGTTTAAAAGTTAACAGCAATGGGATAAATTAATAAGAAAATACATCAAATAATTCCCTCCCTTATAGTAGTAACTTAACCCACGATGATCATTCAAATAGTGGCGAGAAAGGGTACGCGTTCTGGAATGTCACCAGGGGCATAAGGGTCCCCATGACTGGGACACTACAGCAGGCAGTCATCCCAATAGGGCTGTAGTCCTCTAGCCATAAGGAAACTGGGAGAGAGGTGTCCAACACAGATAAGCAAGGGGAGCCTCATAGCGGCGAGGCATCCAAGGATATTCCCACGGATATACATTTTTTATAATCTCTCGTAACTCGTAATATTGTTGCTACAGTAATTGCATACAGTATATTAAAATACTGTACAAGAAAAATATAAATTTTCGCCGGAAACGCAACAGAAAAAGTGTTTTAGAATTGTCTAAATTCCCGACTCCAAAACATAAAACCCTAAAATTAACTGGATAACCAAAACAATTTGGGTTAATATTGACGACTGATCAGCGTTATTTGTTTGGAGGTTTATTTTCTTACATTATTTTCATGAGTGAGTTCTGATATGATAATCGTTTCTTGTGTAAATGCTTTGTTTGGTAGATAATTAGGCGCCTTGGCATCCACTACTCTGACTTCTCAGTGGTAATGCTGTAGTGACGTCTCGTCCCACGATGTAAACAGCTAATCATATTGACGTATTTCAAAGCACTCTGCCGCCCGGGGACACCGATGCTCTGTGTATGCTTATTAACTGTTCAGTACGGACTGCTGCTCTCATATCCACAAAAAACGCAAAATTACACCATATCACAATGCTTCTGCTGCTTGTTTTTCATATCAAATAGGGTTAGTTTAGGTTTAACTTAGAAATGGTGACTTTTTCACACATTTTCACAAACTACGACAATGTTCACTATAAAACAGTGAAATTGCGGCTTTTTTTAACCGTTTCCTATGAAAAATCGGCTGCTGCTCAGTCGTCAAGAATTACCAAAGTTCGCCCAAGGCAGGTTAAAATTATAAATAACCACTTTTTAACACATTTGCCCAAACTACAAAACAGTGAAATTGCCAAATTTTTATTTTTCATGAACAATCAGCGATGGATATGTCAACAATAATTACTTCACTACTACTACACACTAATACAGGGGTGGATCCAGGAATATAAAGAGGGGGCAAGAAGTTGTGGGTGGAATAACATGACAAGCACAGGTAGCCCACCCACCTGGAGGGTTTTGGGGGTGCTTTAATTCCCCCACCCCCAAGATTTTTTTTTTAATCCGACTATTATTATGGGTATTTTGCAGTCATGCGCACTTGATATTAGGGGATATTCTGATGTCAATAATACTTTTTACTATACAAAAAATGGCTGAGTACAATACTGCATTAAAGAAAAAGTAGTGGAACTTTCTGGTGAAAAGGGAGATCCAGACCCCCCACAAGACACCCCTGGAACCGCCCTTCTAATACATTTTAACACCAACACTCACCAACACTAACAGAGGTTGTAACTTGAGGTGACTGGAGAGGTGTCCTGGTGGTGGGGGTGTTGAGTGTTGATGGAGGTGTGGCATGTCCCTGGGGCGAATGCTCATCAACCACCAAGGCTCCCCCCATACACACCCCAAGCACAAGTATCACCAGCGTGTCCACCCTCATGGCCTGTTTAGAGATTTGTATGGGGTTTTAGTTTCTGTAATCAGAGGAATCGTAGGGATTAAGTTAGGAGTCTGCAATAGGCCGGTTGGCCTGTGCATGGCAGCTCCTGTCGAGAGTTACTACCACTCTCTATCATCCATGAATCTATCTAGCCTCCTTTTGAAACTTTCCAGAGTTCCCGCACTTACTACAAAGTTGCTAAGCTTGTTCCACTCGTCCACCACCCTATTTGTGAACCAGTTTCTTCCTATCTCTCTCCTAAACCTAAACTTATCCAACTTGAATCCGTTGCTCCGAGTCCTATCCTGCTCGGATATTATAAGAACTTTATCTATATCCCCTTTATTGATTCTTTTCACCCACTTAAATACTTCTATCATATCTCCCCGCACTCTTCGTCTTTCTAGGGAATGCAAGTTAAGTTTCTTTAACCTATCCTGATATGGAAGGTTTCTAAGTCCCGGAATCATTTTTGTCATTCTTCGCAGCACCGACTCTAGTGAATTTGTATCCATTCTATAATAGGGGCACCAGAACTGAACCGCATAATCGAGGTGTGGCCTGACTAGCGCAAGATATAGTTGCAATAAGACCTCTGCACTCTTATTACTTACACTTCTAGATATAAAACCCAATACTCTGTTTGCCTTATTTCGAACATTAACGCAGTTTTCTAGGCCGTAGGTCCGGGCTTACAAGTACCCCTAGGTCTCTTTCACAAGTCGACTTCTCTAGGTTGATGTTATTAAGGCTGTATACACTGACAGTATTTGTTCTTCCAATATTAAGTACGCTGCACTTGCTGGTGTTGAATTTCATTTGGCATTTTTCAGACCACCCCTGCAGTTTATTTAGATCCTCCTGTAATGCATTTGCAACCTGCCCTGAATTAATCTGCAGCCCTATTTTGGTGTCATCCGCAAACTTGCTTATGTCACTGCTGATCCCAGTATCTAGATCGTTTATGTAGATTATAAACAAGCGTGGGCCTAGTACTAACCCCTGGGGAACCCCATTGGTTACACGGCCCCACTCAGATTTAACACCATCCATGCAGACCCTATGCGTTCTATCGGTGAGCCATGATTTTATCCAATTTAAAACTTTCCCCTCGATACCATGAGCCTTAATTTTTCTCAGAAGCCTCTGATGCGGTACTCTGTCAAATGCTTTGCTAAAGTCTATGTAAATAACATCGTAATTTTCGTCATTATCTACTACCTTGAAGACTTTCCTAAAAAACGTCAGCAGATTTGTTAGACAAGATTTTCCCTTTGTAAACCCATGTTGAGAGTCGTAAATTATGGCGCCGTGAACCTCTACTGGGGACTATATATCGTTCGATCGATTGATCTATCGATCGATCCATCCATCTATCTATCTATCGATCTATCTATCTATATAGTCTTAGGTGGTGGACCAAAACCATTCGTGTGAAGTATTGCATCAGCCATCAACACACACAGGGTTTTCCTTTATAACATTTAGTATGGACAAATATCAAAATGTTTTTCGACAACTTTTCCAAACTAATATTAATATAGATAATCGCATCAAAAATCAATGGAATGAGGAAAGGAAGAGACAACTGACTGATACGCTTGGCCTGATCGAACTACTGTAAACAGCATGATCCTGTGACGCCAACTAATTTAATGTTTATCTGCCTAATTCCATATTATGGCTCCTCCATCCGTTCACATAATATCACCCAACAATCACTTTCAACACTGGTGAGCAAATTGTTACTAAAACATGAGCTACACAATTGATGAAATAAGATATAGTTACACGTTTCAGATATAGCGTCCACCGAGACCCGTTTACACAAGAGGCAGTGCACCTTTCATAATGATTAAAATACAACTAACAATGGCTAGATCCCCGAAACTATAATATAATATAATTAATATATATATATATATATATATATATATATATATATATATATATATATATATATATATATATATATATATATATATATATATATATATATATATATATATATATATATATATATATATATATATATATATATATATATATATATATATATATATATATATATATATATATACAGTATATGCAAGTAAATCACTGTAGGTGCGCGTTATCTAGGTATATGCTGATAACCACAAGGAAAGAAGAAAACACGAAGTTCCCAAGCGCTTTCGTGTAATTCACATCTTCGGGGGTGAGTACAGACTATGGAGAAGTACAAAACAAGGTGTATATATACAGAGGAGGGTGAGATCAGGTCCACATTGGTCAGGTATTAGGTAATGACCCTACTAATCTTTAAATGGCACCGCAACGGTCGGTAGTCAGGTCAGAGGGTAAGGTGACCCAACCTTCTCACCTGGTTACAAATCTTAATTACAAAATTGTCCAGTTTGTACACGCCATTACTCAAATTCAACATGAATTTGAGTTATGGCATGAATGGTGTGTAAAATTAATAATACCAACCGTTTTTCCGCCATGCTAAATCCCTCCAAGGACTGGTAACGACCGTAATTCTTATTCCCGAAATATTTCCGTCAATCTCCACTTCACAAACTGGTCCTCTCAGCTTGGCAGAGTTGGTATTTCAGGAAACAGCCACTTAACGGCAAAACGAAGACCAATCAACGTTAAGTCGTCTTATTATGCACCTCAACCTCCTGACATACAGGCAATACTTGCCGGTTACACTAAAAATTTATTTCTTGTAACATCCACGTCTTTCTATACTTACTGCACCTCGTCTTATGACTAACCAGTCCATGTGCCAACTTGCCAACACAAACTCCCGGAGTTGGTCAGGATCCTTTACGAAGATGGATAACTTACCTTATGCCAAAGAAGCAGATGTAGCCGCCATGAAAATTACCTGCAGTACCCGTCTTCTTCCCTCCCTCGATAAAATAATAAAAATAGAAATATAAGTTGAGAGGAATCAACACCACTAAAAACTTGAAAAGGAAATAATGCAAGCAAATATTAGAGAATCCAAACGTCTATATTTGGTGCTAAAACAGTAAAATTAAAAGGAGTTTGTAGAACCTATAGAACTCCATTTAGGGTTTAAACTGTAATCTAAAAGAGTGGCTATAAAAAAATTGAGATTCCGGTTGTTAATCCTAAATCAGATAAAAATTATGACAAATAACCCATCATAAAAGAAATTAAATTCCTTGAACAGATGCTTTAGTGCAGTGATTCTCAAACTGGTCCGTGAAAAGTTTTTGATAAATAGTGTAGTGCGGTTTACGTTTGCGAGAGATTTGGCGATTCCAATTCGCAGGATATTTTGGATTTGGGTTGAGAGGACAAATGTTTTGGACTGATTTATTCTTTGATTATTGACAATATTTACATGCGTCATGGTATATAAGGGGTCCTTGGTTGAAAACAGTTTGAGATTCCCTGCTTTAGCGCATACAAATTTCTGGAGAAAACGTTTCGCCTGCTCCCACTTCCCATTGGGAGGTATTGGGAACTGCCCAATACCTTGCCACAAAAGACAGGCGGCCTGTGGCTCCATATTTGACGACGTACAGAAATCGTAGATGCTTGAATCTAATGCCATTCTATCAGGGGTTTTGTTTACATATTTTTACCCCATAATTTCCTTCCCCCATGACCTGCCCACTAACAAGTGATTTATGATCGTAAATATTGGAAAGCAAAAAAAATACTCGGTGAAAATATTAAATTGTTGTTTCTTCTAAAATACTTACCATCACCAAAACAAAAAGTAAAATATAAACGAATTCCATAAGCGTTTTCTGGTGTTAGTGCTGTCAAAAGAGCATTTTATTAAATATAATGGAAATGAAGGGAGGCGGCGAGACAAAAAATTAATTGAACTTTTACCTCATATTCGTCCCATTCAATCACTCGTTTTCAATATTCCAGGTCTTCGCTTCTCTACTCTAGGATGATATGAATGAGGATGAGACTGTAAACAGAGATGTTTTCAGGAACTAAAATTTTACTTAATATTTATGGTCAAACATCAAGCCTTTCTTGGTTACCTCATGAGTAGATGAATTATATATGAATTCATAATAAATAAGTTATGGTATATACACTAGCATAATTCTATAACATGGGAATAAACAAATAAAATTGGCTGTAGGTACGGTAGATGCCACAACACTATGACGCAGTTATCGATTAGACTGAATCACAGCATCTAGGAAGCTTTTATACTCTGTCCTGCCATAATTACACTGTCTACATGTACAGACACGATAACATAATCACCTTTTATCTACGGTTTTCTTTCTTGCAACTGTAAAATCTTTCTTGGGTGATATTTTCCCTAAACACAAAGGACAAATTCGGACAATGCGGGAGAGATGAAGGTTTGAGTCGTCTGCTCCCCGCCGTCCTCACTCACAGGCGCCATCTCTCGCACAAACCTCGTACTAACATTTACAATCGAAGGACCGTCAGATCTGTTTTATCATGTTAGCTTATTATATATTTATCCAATACTTAGACTTAAAAGCAAGATATTTATAAGTTTATAATGAAACTTAAATGAAATATATAAGAATATTTTTAAGCTGTATGCTAGCATGAAAGTCAGGGAGACTTGTCATTTATCAAGACAATTTTAAATGTTACATAAATTATTTATGGCTTTTGGGAATAAGAAACGTATATTGTATTTGACCAATATTTAATATAAATCAAATATTCTGATTGGAACGTATATTGTCATCCCGCTAGTCTGTTATTATGAAATGGTGGTTGTTTTAATTTAAAGCGTCACATTTTTTTTTAAATTGTCATATATAACATGTTTTCTCAGTACAACCTAAAGCATATTGTGTTCATCATTGTCAAAATAACATCATATCTAAACACGATGCACTTATTGGTTTGTTTAATCATTTAAGATCAACTTTGAAAATTTTCCAAAAATTTAAATTTAGTCATGCTTGTTATGAAAATTAAATGAAAATTCACTCCACAACCATCAAATACTCCCCCTAACCACCAAATACCTCCAAAACCTAACCTAAGCCACCAATCTTAATCTCCCATTTTCACCCACTCCATTATTAGTCATATTTTCACCCTTTCTCTCCACAAACTGTTACTACTCTTGGCCTCATAGGGTGTAACAAAATCACAAATTCAATTTCTCTTTGTACTATACAGTAGGTCCAAGGAATAGATCCCACCAAATTCATCACCTCATTACTACGGGGTAGCCTATATTGAAATTCATGAAGTATGTTTAATTAAAAAAAATATATAAACAAACAAACACTAAAACAACAATAATACGACAAGATGTTTGAAAGTGGCTGAGTACGACTGAAGGTCCAACTTTATCACACAATATCAAACAAAACAAACCACAATAGTCAAATGCCAACTCCCAAAACATAAGAGAGAGAGAACATTACAGCTGTGCCTAGACTGACTACCAGCTGGTCACCGACGTCACCTTTTACCGCCAAATACTGACGTAACATATCCCGATTAGCTAGGACATAAAACTATATTTAAATTACCCTACTGACATTAATTCCACATGTTTAGCCTATGTACAAACCTAATGTAATAAAACAACACAATAAAACATAATACAATGTAATAAACAAAGTTAATAAGGGCTCAGTTGGTGTGGGCAAGTAGTGAGGGAAGCTGCCCGAGACACCCACACACCATCCTAAACAAAAAATTTTATACAAAAAACAGAAACTAACAGCGGACACTCGTAACAAGACCAATCATGACAACATTACATTAGCAGTTCCTCTCTCAGTAACAAATATGCACATTAACTTGCCCCTCTGTGTTATAACTTTCAACAGCACTTTCATAATTTCTCAATTGTTCAGAATGTATTCACTCAATCATAATCTTTTCCAGTGTAAAGAATTTAACTAAACAGGCAACACAAACAGGCTCCATCAATAGTGTACTATTTATTGCAAAAAATTCAGTACAGGGTACAGTAATTACTTCCATATAATTTTTCAACTGAGGCAAAGTAACACAGCAAATTTACATTATAATTGAATAATGAGAATTGATACTTTCATATTGTATTACCAAAATATATTATCAACCCGCTATACGGTGTACAGTACTGTACCTTTTAATATAATTTATTTACTTAATTTGGTGCTGACAACAAAAACCACTTGAAACTATTTTTATACTTTTACATAAATAAATTCAACTACCTTGACCCACACTAATCACATATACTGTGTGTGATATATATATATATATATATATATATATATATATATATATATATATATATATATATATATATATATATATATATATATATATATATATATATATATACAGTATTATTTGCACTCTACAGTTTCTTTATAGGGACATATTTTATTTCTTTCACCTTTCACTAATATTAACTTTAAAATGACTAAACTTTGTAATGCATCTTATTTAGTCACAACACAAGCACTCTTTGACTTAGGTAAGGGTTATGTTCCAAGAAACTTTGTGTAACATCCGATTTTACTCAGTAACTACAAGTGGGTAGCTTACCTATTGAACATACATAGTACAGTGTACTTAATACAATACCTAGTGCAAACCTTAAAGATGTACTACGTAACTACAGAACAGAACATTATCATTATGTTTGCATTGAATTGAGATAAAATAAACTACAGTACAATATTAACAGATCATAGCTAATTAATTTAATATTTACGGAACTAGTACATTACCAAAATTCCTAATGATGATTTGGTAATTTAAAGGGACAGTGATGTTACTACCACATATATCCCAGTAGTAGGAGAGAAGAGCAAGGTACAGTAAACCTCTCTGTAGGGACATTAGGCTCATCAACACTCATCCAAAGTGCGTCGTGACCACACATGGTAGTACCCGAGTTTGCCCGTATGTAACACTATGCACAAAATCTACGCATCTCAGGCATCTTCATCGTTTTTAATGGGACTTATACAGAAAGTCAAATTAACGTAAGTCGGGTGTTACATAACCCGAGGAGTGTCTATGTACTGTAAAGACAACCAGCTGTGACCACAACCCAAGGAAAACTACTGTACCAAGTGAAGAGTGTTAAGGTGTTCAGAAGGAAAAGGTTCAATGTAAGTACTTTACCATGTTAGGTGTACCACCATGGAAGATGCACCCCTATACTGTACCATGTTAGGTGTACCACCATGGAAGATGCACCCCTATACTGTACCATGTTAGGTGTACCACCATGGAAGATGCACCCCTATACTGTACCATGTTAGGTGTACCACCATGGAAGATGCACCTCTAACTTAACAGGGAATATCAAGATAATAATATTAATTGAAGCAGCGGCGCCTTCCTTGTCAGTACTGTACTGTGCTATTGAATCTTGTTATCCTTTACTGTATGTCTTAAATAACCTTACATTATGGTTTTTACCTGATAGACAATTATTAATGAACTGGAGGTTTTTATCCATTTTGGTCAGGGTTTATACTGTACTGTACTATAGGTGTAAAAACTCACATGTTATAAGACACAGAGACAACAGGTAAAATTTGTTTATATCTATCAATAGCATTTGTATTGTATTCCTTTGATCACTTGCTGTGGCTCTAACTACAGCATTAAACATAAAAAAATTTCACATACACGGTTTTATATAAATACAGTACAGTATTAACTTTACAATTAATATAACATTCTAGATTGCCCAGTTAACACACACACTTGTATAAAGTAATGTTCCATAGTCTGGGTGCTGAAGTTAACCAAGACACACACAAAGCAAGTTGAACATAACCCTATTATCTGCACTTAGAAACCAGTAAATATTGTACAGCCAGGCTACAGCTTGTTGACAGATGGCAACTACCGTAATCTAATTCTTATGATGTTTTCTTTCTTTTTTGTAACTGTTATCCAAGGATTCTAAACATTTCAAGTTAAACTGACAGAGTGCGACACATTCACCAAAGGTAACACAAGAAACACAAAAATGCTAATAAAATACAAATTCATAACAGTGGGTAACAACTGGCAACAACCACTGGTCAGGCTGTGAGAATGAATAATTTATTTTTAATCCTTCAACTCTTATTAAAAAAAAAAACTAATTCAACATTGGGGGATGGAAATATTGTACTGAAAGAACCAAAGGTGATGTGTTAGGTGATGTCTTGTTTTATTTAATTTAACTGATTTAAAGTATTCTCAATTATGTACTTATGTTTGTATTATAATCAAAACTTTCATGACATAGAAAGATGTACAATACAATCTTCAAAACGCACAATATAATATTTCTCAAACACAGTTAGTATATTATTCATTTTACATAAAACAAAAACAAAAAAACACAGGCAATAATGAGAACAAAACACTGCCCAGAGCTTCACCAAAACATGACCTCCTTTTATTAAGAAACAGAGGAAATAAAATTTTTATGAAACTAAAATTAGACATAATTAGACGTTCAGCACTGAGGAGGATATGACACACACCTCTTGGTGTCATTCATTACCACCTCTTAATACAATAAATTTATGAAAATAGGTGTACAGCATATACAGTAGATGGATGAACTGGCTCTTATCAAAACACATTTTATGAACAGAAGTACAGTACAGTACAGTACAGTCGTGTATAAACACTTTTGAGTAATAGAGTGAGCTGATATCTCAGCCCACGACCCTCAATATTAACTTGGTAAGATTCAAAACTAAATAAAAAGTATTTCATGTATTTACATTGATTAATATATAATTTATGATCATACTGTACAGCTCCTCCCCGACTTACGACCTACTCGACTTGCGACCTGCCTCAGTCGTACCAAAATTTAGTTAAATTACGTATTTTCGAGTCCCACAGACAAAATTTTCATTTGTAATTCACTTTAAAATGGCTGGCAAGCTTAAAAGTGAGTGTTTTGTGATGCTGAGAAGAAAAAGAGACATCCATTTTAGATTTTCTATGTACAGTTGAGTCTTCATTTACTCGGTCAATTGAACCTGTGGAGGCCCACTTAAAATGAGAAACGCATAAATGAAATAACAGAACATATGGGATTAATTGAAATAGAGACTGGGCCGACCCCCAAACTCCACTTTTTCCTGACACAATACCTACGTTGTAGTAAAAATAACATCTTAATTTTATGATGGTATGCACACATAATTAATACTTAAGAGAAATATCAATAATATTAGGTTTTTTAACACTTACGTTAGTAGAAAAGATGGCTGGGCACACTGGGATGGGGAGTTGGTTCCGAGGCAGAGGGCAGATTATTGGCCCTCACCTGTATCACTTGTATCAATTGTATCACTATCCACCACATAGGCTTGCAGGGCCTCTATGTCAAACCCCTCAAAGTCTATATCCTCACTATCACTATCACTGACTTGGGCCAGCAGTGGTGGGTGGCAGGTGAAGAACTCGGTAATGTTTTGATGACTGGGCGACCTTGTGCGCACCCTGCCTGCGCCGCTTCCCGCGTAAATGACCAAATTTACCGCATAATTAAAGCATTTCATTCTGGAAAAGCACCGCGTAAATGACCAACAAGTTAACCAAAACTGCGTAAATCCAGACTCAACTGTATTATTTAAGCATTTCCGACTTACGACCTGGATTTGGGTCCCTAACCCCGTCGTAAGTCGGGAGGAGCTGTATATGTATACTGTCCAGTATTTCATTCTGGAGTCATCTGGGAACTGGTGGCGAGGAGGGGAGAGTGTTGGTCTGTCATCTGGTAATCACGGCAGGTGTGGAAAAAGACCGTAAAAAGTGATGATGATGACAATATCATTGTCTCCGAAATGTTCAGACTACAACGACACACTTTGATGCTCATGTAAACAAAGATGGCAATGCTTCAAGCACCATTGGTAGAGTCTTTATCTTTACATAAAAAATCTTAATAGGAAAACTGCTTTTACTCTGCCCAATTTTCTTTATTCTTGAAGAAAAAAAAAAAAAACTTTTCTTATATAGATATTTTTTGTTAGGTGGCTGGATAACCCGAACTGTTGCACTGTCCGTAAATACTGTATTACTGTCAGTGGCTTTCCCACTCAAAGGTTAAGTTTTGGCATGTAAGGCACAGGGTAAGTTTTGGAGACTTTTGTGGGGGAAAAAGTGGGTCTTGTAAGGTGGAATAGAATACAGTACAGTGGTCCCTCGGTTAATGAGCGCCTCGGTTAACGAGATTTCGGTTAACGAGTTACCTTCCATATGATTCTTAACTTCGGTTAACGAGCAATCCCTCGATTAATGAGTTTCTTACGAGCCGACCTCCACATGTTTTAGCTTGCATTTGGCGGTCCACCAGCTGTAGTATTAGTCCGCCAATACAGTAATCAATTCTAGGGCTTAAATTCCTTACCCTTTTAGTAAATATCAAGAAGTTTATACTATTCAATCATTTTAAAAGTTTAATATTAAATTTTTTAGTCATTTTAACAATTATTGAACATAATTGAAGGTAGGGTCACTAGTTTGTGGCACGCCATCCAGCCTGCCAACACAGCATACAGGTGTCAGTCTTTGTGTCTTTTCAGTGGAGGTAACATCTTGCTTGAGACTCTCTTGAACTAAACGCTTTTTTTCTCTGTTTGCAAGCAAATTATTGGTCATTTTGAAATTTATTTTACATATTGACAATATATAATGCAGTGCAGTGTTGATTTAAAGAAAATAATCTTGAATTACACCAAGAGAACTAAAATTTTATGGGTGAAATGGCACCATGGGGTGACTTCTCTTCCACCCCAATGCCTTCTCTTCTCCCTTCTCCTCCACCCCCATTCTAATTCCCATCATCATCATCATCATCATCCAGGAGCCTTCTACATACACACCTCAAAGTAAGTGTACTTTTCTACCTTTTTTGTTGTATTTAGGCAATTTTCGGTGAGCTGGAACCAATTACCCAAAAACCCATTGAAACAATGGTTCCGGTTAATGAGCAACCTTCTAGAACGGATTGTGCTCGTTAACCGAGGGACCACTGTATCTGCAGATGATGTACATTACCTCTGACATGTGGTACTACAGTACTATAAAATGTACATATTGGTGGATGTATGTACAGTACACAAAATGTAAGGTAAGGGGAGGCTGAGTACAGTATGTCATTAGTTTCTCTAATTAACAATTCATAATCATGTTTATAGTAATATACAAAAAAATAAATATTTCATTCTGGGGATCACATCCTCAAGGAGAGTTGTAAAGTGCTTTGAAATGATTCAATTAATGTTGAAGTAAGAAACAGTGTACAGTAGTCTTCACTGTCTAGTGCAGTACCCACACTGTTTTTAGTGTAATAACATGGAATGTCTTTTATGTTTCAGTTCTACAAGAAGCATTAAATATTTTTTAATACCCTATGTTCCATTAAATTAGTTTTTAAAGGTTTAATCAATATATATCAAACAGAGACAGTCAATCAGCTGTTGATTATATAGTTTCCCCAGCCCCTAAAAGATGGCAGCATGAGTGGGCATGTCATCTGTTAGCAGATGTTTCACATTACTGTACAGTAATAATATTTAATACTTCCTGTACAATATTTTATTACCCCCCTGAAATGTTGAAGGTGTCAATATGACATACAATATGGGAATAATAAGGACTACTGTACTGTACTGTACTGTCTTCACACAGCATGACAGTGTCAGCCTCACTAACTAACTCCTCATTGGAATTATTAGAACATAAACAAAACAAAATTATCTTACATCACAACACAATGAGCTTTGAGATTTTTTTTTCATGAAAGAAACACCGAGACAAAAATGCATAAAAACAAAATAACAAAAACTTGAGTGTAAATAGGATAATGTATCCACTTAACTGCTCCTCCAGCCACCAAAACACAGGAGAGGGAATAAAGTCTGTGTGCAAGAGACTTAAATCCACAGTACAAGTTGGCACTGATCCCATTACCTGACAGTGTACCATAAGTGGTTATACTGGAGTTAGAAAGAACAGCTAATTATTTAACCTCTAGCTCCTTATTTATATTTTTTCTTGGTTGTTTTGCTGCCTGTACAACATGAGTTAATATCAAAAACATTCAGGTACCCTGCACAAATTAAAGCAATAATTGATATACATTATGCCAGGGGGTGAACACCTACTGTACTGTGTCTTTGTACGTGAAGGAAACCTTCCTATGGTGACCAGTTTATCTGTATAATTCTTCCTTTATAAAGTTATATTCCTATAACAGGATACAGTACAGTATATGCTTTCCATAAACTACATAATGGCAACGTGATAAGTAATTATGGTAAAACTACATTAAAAACACTCTTTACAAACATTACTTTTTAACTATAATAACTATCTATACATAAGTTGCTTACTTCTACTATATCTTGAAAGATATTGCAGTTATCATTGAAACTATTTTCTTTGGTACATTCATATCCACAATAACTACCAAGTGCTTAACCCTTAAGCTTCGGGTTAGGGTGCTGCTGGCAGTAACCCCCCCCCGGCGGTTAAATCGAGAAAAAAAATCAACTTTTCCAAAAATAATAAAAAATAAATAAATAAATAAGAAATAAATACAAAAAATAAATAAAAGAAATGGAGGGAAAATAGGCAGATAATTCTGGAACATCACCCGGGCCTAAGGGTTAAAGTAATTGACAACATGAAAATTGGAGCACATGTAGTTCAAGCAATGCTTTTCATGTTTACTTGCAAATGTACAAGTTGATGGTACAGTACAGTATATAAGGCACTTGCAAGGTAATTAAAGCACTGTATCTTGTCACTGATTCAATATTTACAAAAAGATACAAAATATACTCAATCACCGGTCAAATTATAAGAGTAAACAAATAGGTACATCAAGTCAGTCTACATGAAGTCCATGCGACGAGCCTTCCTCTCTATCTTGGTCTCCCTGTAGCCTTCGTTCATGGCCAGCTCCAGTTCACTCTCAGGAACCTTTCTAACAACTCTTAGAGCTTCTTTTATAGCCTGCAAATAAAAGCACATCAACCTATTATTTTTATTCCTTTAGTGTAGGATGAGTGAAAGGTTACAGAAGCTTAGAGGAAATGGCAGGTGAGAGTTGTGATGTGTACAAGGTAAGAGTTGTGATGTGTAGAAGGTGAGAGTTGTGATGTGTAGAAGGAAACACTGAGAGTTCAAATAAAACATCAAGAAATACTCCACTCATGTGTGTTCATATCCTCAACTGATATCCTTAACTAATTAATCAGGGAATAAATTAAGTATTCATGAGAACACAATTCTTCCCTCACAACTGTAGCATAAAGAACAGTGTCTTCATCTTACCATCACAGCTTTTGGTAAAATTCAAAACAGTGTTGTGTACGAAGACTTCTTATACCTCCTACATATTTGGGTGGACACAACTCAAAACTTCTGCAAATGATTCCTATAAAACTGATGATCAATATTCTCATGAAAATAAGAAGTCAATTTGGGGAAGAACACAACACTAATGTACTGTACTGTACTAGGGTGTGTCATAGGAGGGAAGATCACAACTGTAGCATAAAGAACAGTGTCTTCATCTTACCATCACAGCTTTTGGTAAAATTCAAAACAGTGTTGTGTACGAAGACTTCTTATACCTCCTACATATTTGGGTGGACACAACTCAAAACTTCTGCAAATGATTCCTATAAAACTGATGATCAATATTCTCATGAAAATAAGAAGTCAATTTGGGGAAGAACACAACACTAATGTACTGTACTGTACTAGGGTGTGTCATAGGAGGGAAGATCAGCTAAAACTAATGGCCCATCACTTTTTTGGTAGATTTTAGTGTATATAAACAGAAAATAATTTCAGTTTCAATATTTTGCAACCTTTTGCTAAGTAAATTTTAGCATGAAATTTATCGAAAATCTAACGTACAGCTGCATTAGTGCATTTATATTAAATAGTGAATTTTGATGGCTGCTTGTGTCAGGATGAGGAACCAAAAATCCAGCCATCTCAGTCACTATCTTGGGTCTGGGAGAGAGCTCCTGAAGTCGAAGCCGGAAGGTTTACATTGAGAGATGCTTGGGAGATAATGTTTTAATCAGGCAAATCCAGAAAAGAACCAAAGAACTTTACACAAACAAAGACATTACAGTGATATGACCAAAGCTGTCTTGGCACAGTACACTCTGGCTAACGCTCAGTTCAAGCCTCCAGTCATAATAAGTCAGAAGAAGATTAGGAGAGACTGCTAGCCAGTTAAAAAGGCAAGAGATATCTCTCTTAGTGCAAAACTTGCAGTTAAGGACAGCTTTGCCAAGCAACTGGACCAGTTATTTGATATAATTACTTGCAAGTGCCCAATTGTTCTCTGTCCTGAGTTTGGATGCGATCGTGACTGTAAATCCGAGGCCCACATCTCCTGTATTTGCAAGCTTGAACTGAAGATTCCTGTGATCGAACTGGCATTTATCAAAGCACAGAGAGAGAAGACTGGCAGTATAGGGGCTCTCATGATTTCTAGCCAAGATATTCCGGAGTCCAAGAGACAGGAGGCTGCCACAGAGACAGAAGAGGAGAAGAGTTGCCGAGGAAAAAGTTGCGAGGAAAAAGAGACTTGAGAAGGCCAAATTAGAAATTAAAAAAGGCCGATGATTGGAGTCAAGCTGATTCAGAGTTTAATGACTTCCCCATAGCTGATCCGAGTGCTGACCAGGAGAATGGTGACTTTGTCCCTAACCCAGAAAATAATGATCCCAAACCTTCCAGGCATAAGATTCGAAATAGGAAAGATATCCCGAGCATAGCTCTGGCCAGCATGCGACACCACACTGGTCTCAGAGAAACTGCAGAGATAGCAACAGCTGCCTGGGTTGATGGTGGTTTGATAACACCCAGTAGTCTTCACCTGGTGATAGATCTTAACAAAATGAGAGAGCTCAGGGCTTGTCAGTAACCTAGAAGAGTTTGATAAGGGATAAGAAAAATGGAATCAATTGTTTGTTCTTTGATGGGAAAGGAGATGACACTAGAAGTGTTCTGTGAAAGTTGGAGATTCTGACAAGTTGTTCCCTGCCATGGTGAAGGAGGAACACTACTCCTGCTGCAGTGAACCAGGGGGGAAGTATTTGTGGCATTTCACTCCAGAGAAAGATGACATCAGGAAACCACCTGAGATAGTGGCAGATAACATTGTGAACTGGCTCAGAGAGAGGAACGTAGACCAGACCCTGCAGGCCATTGGAGGGGACAGCACCAACACGAACACAGGGTGGCAAGGGGGGTCATACAGTGGATAGAGAGGAAGATTGGGAGGAAGCTGGTCTGGATTGTTTGTGACCTCCACACCAACGAGTTGCCACTCAGACATCTGATCCAGGAGCTGGATGGCAAGACTCTTTCAAACAATAGATGGTCTGGTCCTCTTGGCAAGATGCTGGACTCTGCCACTGAGTTAGAAATAAATCTGAGCTTTGAAAAAATCACAGTTGGCCCTCCACTCGTTGAGCTTGCACATACTGTCATTGACGACCTGAGTACTGACCAGTACTATGGTTACATGATTTGCAGTGCCATCAAAACTGGGGTCATGCCTGATAGACTTGTTTACCTGCAGATAGGTCCAGTCTCACATTCTAGGTGGCTCACAACGGCTCTCAGGTTCTGCAGAATTTGGGTCGCTCATCATAAACTGAAAGGGAACCAGCTTCACAACCTGAGACTTATTGTCCAATTCATGGTGAGTGTCTACTTGCCAAATTGGTTCAACACCAAGGTCAAGTCATCGTTCTCCGAAGGTCCGAGGCATGTTCTCTTCCAGCTTGAGCTCCTGAGGAGTCAGCCAAGGAGGTTGTTCAGATTGTGGAGCAGACTGTGGGAGATCTTCCTGGTATGCTCATCCAGAGGCAGTTCTGCGAGCAATGCTCTGCAATGGATGAAGGCGAAGGTGGCAGTCAAAAAAGATCTTGGATGTAAAGTTTATGAGAGGGATCTGGGCATGACGAATCAGTTGGTGACAATTCCTTCAGGGTCAGGAAGACTCCTGAAGTCAATCTAGGTGCCAAGACCCTCACTGATCTCATAGATCTGGATAACATCCAGGCTGGCAGTGAGCCCCGTCTTACCTGCAGCCTCACCAATGTTCAAGTCAGAGCTTTCCTGGACAACCCCATGCATGTCCCTACCTGGCCCTCGCACACCCAGAGTATAGAGCGTTGTGTACAGCAAGTGAGCGAGGCCAGCAGTCACGTGTACAGCCAGGAGAGGAAGAGGCTACATCCAGCTCAAGGTGGTCAACGGGAGGTGATGAGTAGAAACAGAAGCAAGAAAGACATATTATTCTCTATGAATTGTTACTTGCAGCAGCACCAAATTAAGTAGTAGTAAAACCCGGTTTTTTGTATTTGATGATTTTGTTTCTAGGGAATATTAAATTTAATAAATGTGTCAAGATCATTAGTTTCACTATTCTGGATCATTTTCATCTAATAAGTCGCCTGATACAATTTACTTTACTTTAAATAAGCTATTTAGTGGTGTTGGTAAAGGGTAGAATACTGAATTTCATAAGATTTCAAGTTAAAATTTACTGTAAAAGCGAAAAACTTTTCAAATCTGAAGATATCACATGATTCTGCACATAGAACTACATCATTAATACCATGGGCCGATTTTTCAAACTCAAAAAAAAAAAATTCGCCTCCATATGACACACCCTAGTACTGTACTGCACTGTACTGCACTGTACTGCACTGTACTGTACTGCACTGCACTGTACTGTACTGTACTGTACTGCACTGTACTGTACTGTACTGTACTGTACTGTACTGCACTGTATTGTACTGCACTGTAGTGTACTGCACTGTACTGTACTGCACTGTACTGCACTGCACTGTACTGTACTGTACTGCACTACACACTATACTATGCTATACTACACTAACATTTTTATACTGCACACACTACACTATATTACACTATACTACACTACACTATACTACACTACACTATATTACACTATACTATACTACACTACACTATATTACACTATACTACACTACACTATACTACACTATACTACACTACACTATACTATACTACACTACACTACACTATACTACACTACACTATATTACACTATACTACACTACACTACACTATACTACACTACACTATACTATACTACACTACACTATACTACACTACACTATACTACACTACACTATATTACACTATACTACACTACACTATACTACACTATACTACACTACACTATACTACACTACACTACACTATACTGTGCTATGCCTGCACTGCACTGTGCTGTCTGACACTGCCACTTAACTACAGTAGAACGTCGATTTAAAGCGATTCAATTTAAGATTATTGATTTAAAGCGACACCCATAATTAAGGACAATGTTTTAATTTAAAGCGAATCTTTCCTATTTTGCGCGAGTCAATCTGGCGCATCATATTTAAAATTTTGCACCCAATGTTCTCTGGGCATGCTACACTGTCCTAAGGGCAAAGCTGTACTGTACATTTACTCAAAATAATGTACTAAATGATTACTAAAATTTTTGTCTAGTGCAAACTATAGCATGTTTATATTCAAATTAATCACTATCTTATACGAATTCCAGCAATATTAATTATATTCTCCCATGTCAGTTCAGTGACATTTTATAAGAGAAAAACTTTAAGTCACTTAAGGACAGATAAATAAATAAGCACCAGACCTTGGCATCAACTGTCAATTATATCACCTCACCTTCCCCCAGCCAGTAAACAGACCATTTCACATTGATTTCTGAGTGTTTGTTTTACCATAATACTACAAAATACAATGTTTTGTTTATTCTAGGAGATGGGCTGAGGTGCATCTGGGTAGACTGTCAGTCTTTTTAGTATTTTGTGTTTTTCTCAAGTACCAAACTAAATTATTCCATTGAAACAACACCCTAGATTTAGTGAGAATTCGGTTTAAAGCGACAACCTCTCTTAGAACATTATCTCGAAGACGTTTACTGTACATGAAATAATAACTGCAGAAACAGGAGAAAAAAATATTAATAATAACTAAGACTAAACTATCTTACCTCTGGCATCCACACACGAAACACATAGTCTTTGGCAAGGTGAAATTCTGGTTTGCCTTTGGTCAATTCTGTGCACAGGAAATCAACCACAAACAAAATCTGTAATATAAATATAAGGCAATGAAATATTATACATATTTTTTTATTATCTTATAAATTGATAAAACTGAAATAGATATACTGTATATTAGAAAACTCTGATTTACAATGATTTATGTTTATACAAAACAGAAAGTATTATGATAGCATAGTGTACTGCTCACATCATTGTCATTCCTAAACCCTCTTTAATTCATATTACGCTACATAACATTCAAATCCACAGCGCTGGTAAAATCTCAGAAAACGGGAAACATTGATAAAGGATAACTCACCTACTCAATGTTACTGAATCATTTGTTGAATTGTACCCAAGTACGTTATATAATACGTATTAAGTGTATGTACTCATAGCGTTAAGGAGAACTCAAGGTATCTATAAGATGGTTGGGAAAGTCCAATTGATCTGGGCTAGTGTACTATCCGGGCTAAGTGTAGATCGTGGGTTAAAGGTCATACTATTTCATATGTGAACGTTTAGCGAACATAACTCCGCAGATATCATATGAAAATACACGAGAACAATGATCTGGAAAAAGGTAAATGTATCAGTTAATGATATAGCCCAATTAATTTCCCCAGGAACTGTCAAACTTGAGCAGTACTTTAGTATGTAATTTAGGATTAAGATATGTATTTATAAGGCATAAGGTCACAATAAACAGGAAAGTGTTCATGTGAGAACCATAAGAAATCGAAGTGGAAATTAAAAATTGGAAACTGTCGACCTAGTTAGCGACAGCGAACGGGACAACGTCCTCAGTTGCCCCTGCTTTTCCACCAAAACAGGTTCCCCATGCGTTCTGAGCGTCCCCAGAACAACGGCCATTACTCTCGTGAGAGCCACCCCTAAGAAGTGACTGTACGCTGTTATGTTACCCCAATGTGAACCTGTGGATTCCCTGCCTATCACCCCCTACTAATATGTTAAGAAGATTCACGGGCGTCAGTTGGAGCGACCTATAATACCAGGCGTAGAAACAGTACTGGCATGTTTACAGATGGAACACCCCTCTCTACCCACCGAGGGCGGTGTGCGAACGAGGGGCCTGATATGTGTGCCTAGAAATAACAAGGGGTTCCATACTTGTAGGTGTGGCGTGTAACCGGGATGTGTTGAGGTGATGTTACAAGTTGGTGAACTGGTGCTGTAAAGAGGTGAGATGGTGCTATAATGTATAATAACCTAGGGTGCTATATTCCAAACAGGTGAAGCAGTCTGATGTGTTGAGTGATATTGTAAGAAAAGATGACCAAGGTAAGGAGGTCACTGATTGTTATGAGTAATGACTATGTGGATGACACGCAATTAATGTAAGATGTCTGTTGGTGAGCAGTGTAACTAAAATCATAGTTGCTCTTCTGAGGAAGGCCAATGCTTCTTGTATTTTGACGGAATGCAATATGTGTTATAAGGAATAAATTAATTAAGACATGTTCTTGTTTCACCCTTCTTTCCCTTATCGATTTGGTCAATGAGAAACCCAACCCAATGCCTAGTCCACTCTGCCCGCTACCTAACGAGCTACATACTGTCCAGAGGGGGTCTGGTGGCAGCGACCCTTAGAAATTAAGATAAGAATTAAGTTATCCCCTTAGAATTAATGACCCCAGAATCCTACAGTATAACAGTACTGTATTACAGAAATTTATTCAATAAATTATTCAAAATCTATATTGAAAGCAGAGTTTTATTCCCAGCACAATTTTTCTAAAACACTCTGTGGTAAGTGCAATAGAACATGAATATCTATATTTATCACCACTTGCTACAGGGTAGTAGGATTTTCAAGCTCCCTTCTAGAATGGATGCCTTCAGGGAGTAGTGACCCTGCCTTGCTAGCTAAGAGGGAGCTTGGAAGTCCTACATATAATGCACTCTGTAAAATTGGATCAATGACAGAAAGGTCATCCAGTCATAAAACTTGCTTCAACTTTGCCAGATACTAACTGGGACACCATGCCATCAGGTAATCATGGCTAACCCATGTAACTATGGAAAATGGCTATCTTTAGTTGATCACTTATCTTTCACCTTCATTAATTAATTTACCATACCTCTTAATCACCCAGGGTCATTATTAGCACCTGGTGTAATTATGAGCACCTGTGAGTCACCCGGGGTCATTACGAACCACTTAATGTTATTATACACTTGTTATTCTTTGGCAGTATGTACAAACTGTCATTTCCAAGGACCCATTTTAACCCTGTCATTGCTGGAGGTTTTCTCTAAGCTGAATAAAATCATCTTGTGGCAGCCAGAATAAAATCCTAAAGTGCTGAGAGCAGTGAAAGAGTTAAGAGGGGTTCAAGCTTCAGTGTGAAGGTATAATTAATCAATGCATTAGTCCCACCAAAACATTTCCTGAGGCTGTAAACTGGTAAATATCACTTGAAACATTACCTGTTCATCATCATGGTCTAACTGAAAAGGTCCAATTCCTGTACACAGAAGTCCTCGTCTTGAGAACATGTCCTGGTACGCCTCGTGTCGTTCACAAGGTTTCTCACCGTTAAATATTTGCCATAGATGTTCCATGCAGGCCGATGACGTTATGAATTTCAGTAATTTTTCATTTTCTCTTTTTCTCACTTTCATGGCACTTTGAAACTTTATCTTCTCTCTTGGTGTGAGAGTAAACTGCAACATAAATTAATATGAGTATTTTGAGTGTCAAAATTATGAGCAGGTTAAAAATTTAATTCTTTGTAAATTCTTTCAATATGTGTTTGGATGCTACCATACTGTACTGTACCACTTTCTATAACTAATACAGTAACAATACACTATATCACTAATACAGTAACAATACACTATATCACTAATACAGTAACAATACACTATATCACTAATACAGTAACAATACACTATATCACCAGTACAGTAACAATACACTATACTGTATCACTAATACAGTAACAATACACTATACCATATCACTAATATAGTAACAATACACTATACTGTATCACCAGTATAGTAACAATACACTATATCACTAATACAGTAACAATACACTATACTGTATCACCAGTATAGTAACAATACACTATACCACTAATACTGTACAGTAACAATACACTATGTCATCACACTTTACCTCTTCATTGACCAACTGATATGAGTTCATTTCAGTTTTTTGGTTCACTAACTCATAAGACCATTTCTTTTTCGACTTTTTTGCTCTCTTCTTTGTTCCGTCTTCCTCTGGTTTCTTTTTCCTATTCTGTGGGGTCATCATATGGTCATCTTTTGGGGTCAAACTTACAATGACTAAAGCATCTTGCTCTGTGGAATGAATCAAAGAGTTAACATTCGAGAGAAAAATGGTAATTTACCTTAAAATCAGCGACTCATGACCATTATAATAAAGAAACACAATAACTCAAGGTGATCATCAACAGTACTAATATTAGTCATTCTCTGGGTCACTGGCCGCCCTGCTCTAACACACATTTTACCTACATCATAATTTTATCCTGATTGAACTTACCAATGCTCACAAAACCCCATTTAGTATGTCAATAACGTATATACAATATGTACAGTACAGAACAGTGGTCCCTCGGTTACCGAACACAATTCGTTCCAGAGTCGTTCATTAACCGAAAATTTCGTTAACCGAATCCATTATTTCAATGGGAAATTGGGTAATTGGTTCCAGCTCACAGAAAAGTACATACAAAGTAAAGCCAAAAATGCATAAAGTCAGAAACACTCCAAAAATTTCCCTAAATCGCCCTTAAATCACTATACAGTCATACGTCGCTTAACGTCCTAGATACGTTCTTGGAAACGTGACGTTAACCGAATTGGACGTTGTCCGAACATCACATTGTGAATTTTGTATTTATATTTACGTGTATGTGGAATATTGCAGTGTACTTGTACTGTACAATATTGACTAAATACACTAGATAATGTACACAACTAATGAAACACAGAGGTTAAGAACATAAACCAGTAACATAGGCATTTCTTATATCTATCAAAACATATTATGGATATATAGTTACTGTACTGTATCATTATACGCCTGGCAGCACAATCTATTTTGTTTAAGAACACGTGATGCATGCGTGAGCGCGCCCGCTCTGAGGCCACTTACGTCCCGTTGTCTGAACGGGTTTTTTTATCCCTATTATTTTCTTATTATTTTTATGGGCCATGGACGTATATGCGATCGGACGTTGTTCGGACGGACGTAAAGCGACACATGTATATATGTATATGTGTATATGTATGTATGTATGTATGTATGTATGTATGTATGTATGTGTGTGTGTGTGTGTGTATATATATATATATATATATATATATATATATATATATATATATATATATATATATATATATATATATATATATATATATATATATATATATATATATATATATATATATATATATATGTATATATATATATATATATATATATATATATATTTATGTAATTTCACAATGAAAACGTGGATAAGATGTCTTGAATAAAAGCACTTAAAGCTAAGGTAATCCGTTGTTTCCATTTTCGTGTGATTTTATCAAGATATATATATATATATATATATATATTGTATATATATATATATATATATATATATATATATATATATATATATATATATATATATATATATATATATATATATATATATATATATATATATATATATATATATATATATATATTACTGTATTGGTGGGCTAGCCAATCAGCTGATACTCACAACAAAAACTGTTTGTTGTGAGGATTTCGTTAATCGAAGTTTTGTTCATTAACCAAATTGAAGATCCTTATGGGAGCTAATTCGTTAACCAAAATTTCGTTATCGAACCGTTCGTTAACCGAGGACCACTGTATAGTATATACCTTCAGGAGGCATGTTGCAGAAGTCTTCAATTGAAATGGTGTTGCCATGCTTTTGTAATTGACAGTAAGACTCAGTAAGATGGAGAGCTACACTAAAGCCACTCTTGTTCTGGTCCTGAAACACATTAATTGTCATAACATGTTGGGCAACAATCTTACCTCATCATCAGTACTATTATTATGGTAATATTTTATTATCATTATAACAATACTGTACAGTAATGTAGAAATAAAACAAAAGTAATCAGACAACAAGTGTATATGTCTGTCTGATGTTCAATATGTAATGTATAGTACAGTAAAGTATATACAAATTCCCTCAATCCTTCCCAAGGACAATCAAATCATGTTAATTGTCAGAGAACTTTTCTTGAAACTGTATGTGTGTGTGTGTGTGTGTGTGTGTGTGTGTGTGTGTGTGTGTGTGTGTGTGTGTGTGTGTGTGTGTGTGTGTGTGTGTGTGTGTGTGTGTGTGTGTGTGTGTGTGTGTGTGTGTGTGTGTGTGTGTGTGTGTGTGTGTGTGTGTGTGTGTGTGTGTGTGTGTGTGTGTGTGTGTGTGTGTGTGCAAAGCTTAACTCTTCTTTTATGGACAGCCACAACAGTGATTCTACCAACAGTTCAAATGAGTTTAATAAAAGGTAAGGTCCAATTACGGTACCCAAGGAGTATACATGTTGGGTATGAGTCATTATGTAATGTGTATGACACCTCGGTCATTCACCACAAGAAATCCAGTAACTATTGGGACTATAAAAGTGCACTTAACTCACCACATACGATGGCACTTCACCATACTTATAAGGTCTGATGTCTTCTACTTTAACTTTAACAACAGTGTCTTGTTTGCGGCCAATGAAGTACATCAATGGTCTTTTTATGTAAGGGTTGATCTGCTGAATGCATGAAGGCCACCAAGTATCTCTCTCAAGTGACCATACAAGGTCACCAGTCTTGAAGTCATATTCAGTCTTTCCTGAAGTAGAATTAGGACCACGTCATATAAATCAGGTTTTAAGCTTAAACATGAAGTAAAACTTTCTTTAACACACCAAAAATTTTTAAGTGGACATCCCCAGGTTACGTACGTCTGACTTATCAACATCTGCCGATACAAATGAGGTCCTGTAAAGTTAAAAGTTTAAATTTACAGTAATTTCTGATGACAATTTTTACTTTCATTTACTGTATTTTGTCATTCTATTTCTTCTTTTCTCTTAAATTCATTTATTTTAAATGTATATAAGGATTTAGGCTGTGATATAGTGGGATTTTAAACATTGTTCTGTAAGTACTGTACAGTATGCACATATGGCATGTAGTTAGACTTAAGTACATTTTCAACTTAAGAGCGTCTGTAGGAACAAAACTTGTACGTAACCCGGAAACTGCCTATGCCTATACTGTATACAACAAAACAAGAAGCTTTTAATTCCACTCTTTTAAGTCCTTCTTCCATGATACAGTACATGTGTAGAATTAAGAGTACACACACACACACACACACTTCAATTATTCTCTCAAATGGCCATAAATTATGTGCTCTACTGCTCTATGGTGTTCCACTCCTGCAACAAGATATTCCTCTCATTTACCTCTGTCACTGCATCATCTGTCAGCAACACCCTCACTCTACATGATGCTTTACATCTCCTCTTCTTTCATCCTCTACTGAATTATACACTCTTGTTTACCAGTCACACACTTCCCATTTTCTCAACATATCCACATAGTCTCAGCAGACACTTGGTCCAACACCTTCTCATTCTCTTGTCTTCTCACGTCAGAGTTCTTCAATATTCATATATTGTTCTGTTTGTCCTACAGTTCTCAAGGATATCACTTTCAAAACATCAAATTTGATTTTCCTGAGATTCAGAATTTGTTATCAAGACTGAGACTACAAACATAAGGACGACCATTTGTAGTTTTAGTCTTTATGGATCACTTAAAGATTAGCCTCTGAATAGTTTTTGGGGTGGTTAAAGTTCTGGCTGATTAAGGTTGGGGAGGGGTTGGCTCGCCAGGTAAGTGTGTGTGTGTGTGTGTGTGTGTGTGTGTGTGTGTGTGTGTGTGTGTGTGTGTGTGTGTGTGTGTGTGTGTGTGTGTGTGTGTGTGTGTGTGTGTGTGTGTGTGTGTGTGTGTGTGTGTGTGTGTGTGTGTTTTGTGTGTGTGTGTGTTTTTGTGTGTGTGTGTGTGTGTGTTTTTGTGTGTGTGTGTGTGTGTGTGGGCATTTTTCAAGTGATCCATTAAAGTCAAAATTTAAAATGGTCTTGTTTGTGGTCTTGGTCTTAGAGCTGCATCACTGATTCACACAGACAAGATCCCCCACACTAAAATGATATTGTCAGTTCTATCTACTGTACTAACATTATACATCTCTGCTGCTGCCTTCAAAATGCTCTCCCTCACCTCACTATATATTTCTCAGAGCACTTGTTTTCTTCGTTGCCTTAGCTACCCTGTGACTCATCATCCACTCAGTTATATTTTATGCACCTCACCTCCATTTAAGCAAACATTCATTTATACCCCATTTTACCTCTAGATTTACTTTCATCACTTTATATTTATCCACATTCACGATTAACTTTTCCACAAAACATAAACTTTCAAACTAATTCATTAACAGTTGCAACTTTTGGATCCCCCCATACACAGTTTTTACCTAACCTAACACTACATGCGAGGCAGATCCTGCAACCACACTCTGGCCGGACCTGTCCCATTAAACTCACCACCTTCAGCCTTTTAGTAAACTGTAGTTAAGGATGGTGGGTCTGATCACTAGATAACAGTGTATCTCCCATTGTCTTGTAGGTCCTGGTGGCCATGCCATCTCAACTGTTAGTACATGTATTTACACTGACTCTTATTCAACTATGTCCTCCCAAAAAATCTCCAAGTACTGCATAGTTAAACTCACCTGTATGCACTGGTAACTCATTCAGGTCAGGAAGTTCATCACTGTCGCTGTCAAAAAGTAATCTATAAGGTGCAATGAAGTCCTTCTCCTGCACCAGTGGCTGCTTCTCCTCTTCCTTCTTCATACCACCAGCTTTATGTGCATCACATTTCACCATTTTCTTCTTAGCTTTTCTTCTTCTCCTTGTCACTTTCTTCTCTAGCTTCACAACTTGTTTTCCATTTCTCAAGTGTTTGTCCGTTATATTTTCCAAAGAAATTTCGGCATAATGAGCAGTCACCAGAACGGCTCTTTGCACTTCGGTCTCGTCGGTCGGTTCATCACCACTATTACCTATACCTATGGTTGAATCTCTGTTCACATCTACTATTTTCCTTTTCTTACCTGAATAATTTGCACTAGTTGATGATCTACCCCATAGAGACTTATCATCATCATTTACTTTAATCTCACATCTATTGACCTCTTCACAATGGCTGTCAGACGGCTCCTCCAACATTGGCTCTGAATTTAAGTTTCTCCATGAAGTTTGGGATCTTATCTGTGTGTTACTACTGCTTCTGCTCTCAACTTGTTCTACTAATCGTGTCTCATTTTTCTTGTCTGTCACAGCTTTATCGAGGATTGTATTTTGCATCTCCTTTCTCTCCACTCTTTTAGTCCATTTTCTCTTCTTTGTTGTATTCCTTGTGTCCTTTCCTCCTTTACTTTTTCCCTCACTTTTATTGCCTTCCATTCCTTCACTTCCATGTTTTCCTTCCCCTTTCACATTCATTTCTCTTTGCTTTCTTCTTCTCGTCACATTCTTTCTTCCTTGATTTCCTTTGCCTCTTTCCATAACACTCTCACTATTTTTACCCCAATCATATTTCCCTCCATCTTTTGTTTTGCTGTATGTTGGTGAGTTAAGTTCACTGCCTCCACCCTGAATGTGTGAACTAATCAGGAACTGCTTCAGAGCGAGAACCTTCTCATTCGGCTCAGTGTGGAACCCTTCAAAATTATTGGGTTCATTATCTTTGTTTATACAAGCAGTGTTTATAAAATTTACAGCTGGAACATTGATAAGTCCACCATGTTTTTCATAGTGACAGTATGCTACTCCATCTGTGAGGTTAAAGTCCAAGTCTCTTCCTAGTTCAGGAGTCTTACTTGTACCTGGTATAGGATTTTCATATGTTGGGTCACTAACACCTTCCCTTATACAGCATTTAGCATTTATATTACTCAAAAATTTCTGGGATACTTGACTGTGTATGACAATACTTGTACCTGGAGTAGAAAGCTGCCCATTACAGCCACTATATCCGCCAGAATAATCAGTTATTTGCTCATCATTTATATGTGTATGGACATCTTGTTCACCTTGGTGAACAGATCCTACCAAATTTTGGACTTCAACACCAACAACCTCGGCTGTTCCCTTCATTTTCTTTGGACATTTTCCAATCTGTGTCACGTTGCTTAGTAAACGTTTTTGTGGCAGATTCTGAGAAAAATCATTTGAGCCGCTAATTTGAGGACAACCACGAACGTCTCCATTTGCAATGATTAGTTGTGACACAACGGCACCATCTACAGATTGATCATAGTGGTCCTGGTAATGTCTACATGCATCACTGTTTACCAGCAACTCTCCTCTGTGTTGTGAGGTACTTGTTGTATCCTCTCTCTCACACTCCTCTATAATGTCCCTTTGTCTCTCACCATCTGCTAGAGAATCTTGTACATTGTCTTTCTCATCTGTTGGAGACTCGTACACCATGTGTCTCTCATCTGTTGGAGACTCGTACACCATGTGTCTCTCATCTGTTGGAGCTTTGTACACCATGTGTCTCTCATCTGTTGGAGCTTTGTACACCATGTGTCTCTCATCTGTTGGAGACTCGTACACCATGTGTCTCTCATCTGGTTGGAGCTTTGGTACACCATGTGTCTCTCTATCTGTTGGAGACTCGCACACCATGTGTCTCTCATCTGTTGGAGCTTTGTACTCCATGTGTCTCTCATCTGTTGGAGCTTTGTACACCATGTGTCTCTCATCTGTTGGAGACTCATACACCATGTGTCTCTCATCTGTTGGAGCTTTGTACACCATGTGTCTCTCATCTGTTGGAGACTCATACACCATGTGTCTCTCATCTGTTGGAGACTCGTTCACCATGTGTCTCTCATCTGTTGGAGACTCGTACACCATGTGTCTCTCATCTGTTGGAGACTCATACACCATGTGTCTCTCATCTGTTGGAGACTCGTACACCATGTGTCTCTCATCTGTAGGAGCTTTGTACTCCATGTGTCTCTCATCTGTTGGAGCTTTGTACTCCATGTGTCTCTCATCTGTTGGAGACTCGTTCACCATGTGTCTCTCATCTGTTGGAGACTCGTTCAACATGTGTCTCTCATCTGTTGGAGACTCGTTCACCATGTGTCTCTCATCTGTCGGAGCTTTGTAACCATGTGTCTCTTTATCTGTTGGAACTGTTCACCATGTGTCTCTCTATCTGTCGGACTTTGTACCATGTGTCTCTCATCTGTTGGAGACTCATACACCATGTGTCTCTCTATCTGTTGGAGCTTTGTACTCCATGTGTGTCTCATCTGTTGGAGCTTTGTAATTCATGTGTCTCTCATCTGTTGGAACTCGTACACCATGTGTCTCTCATCTGTTGGAGCTTTGTACTCCATGTGTCTCTCATCTGTTGGAGACTCATACACCATGTGTCTCTCATCTGTTGGAGCTTTGTACTCCATGTATCTCTCATCTGTTGGAGACTCGTTCACCATGTGTCTCTCATCTGTTGGAGACTCATACACCATGTGTCTCTCATCTGTTGGAGCTTTGTACTCCATGTGTCTCTCATCTGTTGGAGCTTTGTACTCCATGTGTCTCTCATCTGTTGGAGACTCATTCACCATGTGTCTCTCATCTGTTGGAGACTCATACACCATGTGTCTCTCATCTGTTGGAGCTTTGTACTCCATGTGTCTCTCATCTGTTGGAGACTCGTACACCATGTGTCTCTCATCTGTTGGAGACTCGTTCACCATGTGTCTCTCATCTGTTGGAGACTCGTTCACCATGTGTCTCTCATCTGTTGGAGACTCGTACACCATGTGTCTCTCATCTGTTGGAGACTTCACCATGTGTCTCTCATCTGTTGGAGACTTACACCATGTGTCTCTCATCTGTTGGAGACTCGTTCACCATGTGTCTCTCATCTGTTGGAGACTCGACATCTGTTGGAGACTCATTCACCATGTGTCTCTCATCTGTTGGAGACTCGTTCACCATGTGTCTCTCATCTGTTGGAGACTCGTACACCATGTGTCTCTCATCTGTTGGAGACTCGTTCACCATGTGTCTCTCATCTGTTGGAGACTCGTTCACCATGTGTCTCTCATCTGTTGGAGACTCGTATATAGTATTTCTTCCCATTATTAGGGACTCTTGTATAATGTCTCTCTTATTTATTTGAGACTCCTGTATTATTTCTCTCTCTGGGTGAGACTCTCCTTCAACATCATCATCCAGCAGTGACTCCTGTCTATTCCTCTGGTCATGGGTGAGGAACTCTCTCTCAGCTGGAAGTCCCTCACTTGTCAATACCACATCATGTTCCTCAACTAGCACACAGTCACATGTGTTAGTGTTGTCACCTTCCTCAACCTGTGTATAACTACCGTAGTCATTATCTGTAGTGTCTCCTCCATTACGGCCACAGCCAACTGTATTCGCGTCTTTATTATAATAAGTGTCGAGGTCTGGTTTGTATGTATAGGCATTGTGTTTACTATCGCATTCAACTATCACGTAGTGTTCCTCGACCATAGACACATCCTGAGTGGCATTGTTGGTACTGTCTATCACATCACATTTCTCAATGATATATACTTCCTTAATGACAGTAGTGACGAAACTGTCCACCTCATCACCATCCATCACATCATGTTCCTCAACCACAGTTACATCCTGAGTGGCATTGTTGGTACTGTCTATCACATCACATTTCTCAATGATATATACTTCCTTAATGCGAGTAGAGGCGATACTGCCCACCTCATCGCTAACAATATTACGATCATATTCTTTTTCTGGTGCTTGGGAGTGAGATTCACTTTGAACATTCATCACTTTTACTTCATCACCAGGAGCCCTCATTAAGTGATCATTGACAGTGGCCATTTTTGGAATACTGATCTCTGATGGAATTTGAGCATCATGAGATTGTTGGCAATTGTTCTGGTCTTTGTCACTACTATGGGGGTCTCTCACCTTGCAAGAGTTAGATTCAACGTGAGTACGAGCCTTATGTGCCTCATTGACTCCCTCTCCTAGCTCTGGCTCCAAATTCCCCTGGGGTCTGAAACCAAGAGAAGACAAAGGTGAGAACCCCCACAGTAATATGACACCAGCTTACCCCAAGTCACAACAGCTAATATATTCTTCCTGGCAACTGTCAAATATCACTGCTGGCAATAACCTTACAGTGAAACCTCTATATAACACACTGCTCTCCATATAATCCATTAGATAAAGGGGGGAGGGGGGGTTACATTTAAAGGACCCTCTATATAACAGACTTTCATCTCGATATAGTTCATTAGACCAAGGTTGCACATCTAACAGACCCTCGATATAATGGAGTTTCCTCTCAATATAATCCATTAAATAAAGGTTTCACTGTAGCCCGTTACCACCAACTAGTTAAGTAAATAATAAAGAAAACCTCAACAGAAATAAATTCAGAGTGAAAGAAGACGACGGCAACTTTTGAACAAGGCAGAAATAAACAAACTGAATAACACACAAACAACTTATTACAGAAAACAAAAGAAGTGTTATGTTAATCTTGGCAGTTAAGATAGTGTGTCCTGTAGTTAAGATAGTGTGTCCTATAGTGCGGAGAATTGAAAAACAGAGATTCGTAAATGTTAGGCTGGAGAACCTCACACCACCGATCTCCTAAACTTTAAAGTAACGTAGATTGTTTAAGATCTAATCCTTTGGGTTGGGTTGTTTAGGTTAGGGTGGTTAGGTTAGGGTGGTTAGGTTGGGTTAGGGTGGTTAGGTTGGGTTAGGGTGGTTAGGTTTGGGGCATTAGATGTAAAAAACCCATAAAATGGATTACATATAGAGAAGTGTTCGTTATATGGCGGTTTTACAGTATTTTTTTGTTTCTTTGTAATTGGCAAAATAAAAGAAGATCAAATTAGGAATCATATCTGTGTTTATTCTCTAAAATCCGAGACCAAAACACTACACAAGTTGGTGGCACCGTTGACAGCACAGGATGCAGCCCAACAAACAAAAGGCAGCCATCACGCTAACTAAGGTGACAAATAATATTAAAAAATAAATAAAAAATTATAATTATAAAACAAAAATTACCAAGTCTTTGAAAAATATTAAACAATAATATGATGTCTGTACATGCCCCAAATATTAAGGGAACACCAATAAAAACACTATATTCTACCATCGTTTTGTCCACCTTAACTCTGCCACCAAATTTCTTGCTAGTTTCGAGCACGATCGTTATCTTTTAAATTCAAAGATGTGGCCAAGAAAGGAAAAACAAAACAACGAGCGTGGAAACCATTTATGTAAGAGAGGTAACACAAAGACTATTAGGTCAGGTCAGGTCAGGTTATAAATGAGAGGTAACACAAAGACTGTCAGGTTATGAGTAAACAAAATACAAGTGTATGCTGGGAATTTTACTCCTGACATTATAGTAAAGTAAATAATGCATCAAGGACTAAAATTCCCAAATATTTCACTTGTCTTCTCTTTACCCCCATCAGTCCAAATGAGTCATAATCACCGTTAGATTGGGTTAGGTTAGGTTAGGTTTCTTCAGCACGGACCTTTGTTTTATCTCCTCACTGCACAGTAAAGAACTAGTTTAAGATGCCAGCAACAATACTGAGTGGCAGAGGTAGAGTAAACAATCATCACCTGGGGGGAGGGGAGTAACACTGCTGGTGAAGCCAATCTTATTACATTATAAAAGAAAATATATCCTGTAAACATCATTTTTGGTTTAGCGTCTGACCCTGGAAGCTTCAGTTAACACAATGATCATATCAAAGGAAGGAAAAACAACCAGAACCCTGACCTCCTGTACTGGATCAGTCAAGAGGCTTTATCTAAGAGTGTAAGTCTCTTGTTGTGATCAACTCCATCAGAGAGATAACTGGCATTTAAGAACACTGCAGCGAACCAAACGATACCTAGATAACAAACTTGAAGCTTGCAACTAAGGCCTCGGGTCAGCTTGTAGCCAGGCAGCCGATTGGTTGACAGGACACGGGAAAGTCACTACACTCCTTCAGTATTTAATCTATTGTATTTACATTCTGATATTCTAAAGGACAATAATTTCCACACTTGGGAAAGTCAAAATTAACTGTGAAACGTCCTGTAAAGTGATAACAACTAAAGTACTGTATGTGAATGAGTCAGGCAGTAAACCAACAATGACCTAGTTTGAGTTGTTTGTTTTGTTACAAACTGTTAGCTGTTTATTATTACCTTGGTATATAACGATCATTAGCAAGACACGGTGAACACAGGGCGTCTGAGGAAGCCATCAGCCTGTGAGATACTAACGAATAATCCAAGTCTAGACGGGGGTTGGTGGGACTACTCTGTGTGTTGTAGGGTCGTCTACAGACGTCTGAAATTGTCAATATGTTAAAAACACAATTCATCTTTTCCAAAACACTTATTGCAGAGTGGGCCCATAAAGTATATACTACTGTACAAAATAAACATAAATTGTGGTAATATAGGAGGAGCTAAATACCGTAACAGGAGCTCTCTTAGATGTAAACTATATTTACACGTACAGAACAGATAAACCTCGCGGTTATAAAATTAATCAAATATCATCAAGATGGTGCCATCATGACCACCACTTGATATATAACTATAGTAGTACAGTATTAGGAATACAGTAATATGTAAACCAAGATAACAAGTACAAGTGCAGTGTACAGTAAAGAACACATCTACTAGTGTAGTGTAGTGAGCTGGTAGACAACACAAGTAAACATGAAGATATAGATCAAACTGATACATAAAATATTCCTCTACAACAATGAACTGGCAGATGAGTTTAAGACAGCAGATGTGGACAAATAATACAGGAAGTGATTTACGTACAGTAAAGGAGGCTGGACATGCAGTAGTTCTACTAACATGAGTGAGACCTGTGACCTGATCCAATATATGGGACACAAGAGCATCAATAACACAAACTCTAACATGACACTTGCTTTAGTCAGGGTCACAGATAAAGGTTGTAGCCATTAAAGGATGTACAGTAACATGAGACAAACACCCACAGTTAACCATTCTATTACTATGACAATAATTACTGTACACCCATTACAGGTAAACCTCTATTTGCGATGGGATTAAATTTCTGAAAACCCAATCGCAGGTCGAAATATCGGAAATCAGGTTCATTATAATGTGGGGTTCAGTGGGATAGGTTTCTGCCCAGTCAGACACCCATATGTACCACCGAAAAATAAATTCTTAGAATACAACACAAACAACACTTACCATATCATTAACAAGTCTAGTCGTCAAGGCTAAAGGGGCTCTAAGGTGTAGTGGAGACATTATCCTGAGTCCCATACAGACTTTGGGGAGTCTAAAGAGTTCGGGACTGGAGATGTAGTCGTCGTCCTGGTTAAAAATAAATAAATAAAAATCTATACGATACAGGCATGTGAGGTGCCTTGTGAATGGAGCTGTGTGGAATTTCTCACCCTGTACTGGTGTACCCTGATAACTGATACAAGCAGGGACCGAGAAAAGTCACTGGTTAGTGAATCAGCGGTTACCAAAACAATTAAACCCACAAGAATATACAGGCAGTCCCCGACTTATGATGGGGTTAGGGACCCAAATCCAGGCCGTAAGTCGAAAATGTGAAAATAATAAATAAAAATCTAAAATGGGTGTCTCTTTTTCTTCTCAGCACCACAAAATTCTCACTTTTAAGCATGCCAGCCATTTTAAAGGGAATTAAAAATGAAAATTTTGTCAGTACACAGCGCAATTACTAACATCGGGAGTCGAAAATACGTATATTTAAAATTTTTGGGTACGACTGGGGCGGTCGTACATCCGGGTGGTCGTATGTCGAGTAGGTCTCAAGTCGAGGAGTACCTGCAACTAATTCAGGGCATTAGGGACCGGCCACCCTCCAAAACCTCCCTTCTACCTTCGATATATCTCTGTATTGCACACTGTCCAGCAATAAAATAAATCAGACATATAAAGCAAGCATAATAAGCCTTAAATAAGCAATGTAAAGCATAAATTGTGACTTATTTACCTGTGTTAAGGATGGTAGAGATGGCCAAGGGTGGCAAGTTCAAGTCTATACAATACCAATCATCATCACTCTTATTATACCTTGTCACATCACATCAAGCTGCCCCTCCAGCACAAGAGGAACTATCCCTGGGGTGTTTAGGTATGATTGAGTAACACATTAAAGTCAGAAATAACGAAAAAATATGAAGTCAGTCAATAAATGTAAACATGAGCAAAGAATGGCAGGAATGAGTCAGAGGCAGTGCACAGAGCCCTATGGTGGCAAGAATTTGCACCATGCCAGCTCTGCCGATCGTCGGATCTCCGGGGTATAAAAAACTTGTGGGGTTATTCCCCTAAATGTACAGTAAACCCTTAATAACTTGGCATTTGATAAAACGGAATTTCATATAACTGGGCTGGGATGTGGTCTCGGAATGCATTATAGTATAACTTCAAGCAAGGGAAAATATCTGACTTCTTTAAAACTGTGTCAAGGTCCCAAGAACCAGTCGACCTTCCTCCTAGTGACACCTTCAGTATCAGGATACTCTTCCCCCAGAGCCAGTTTCCTACACTGTATTTCCCAAAATACAGTGAAAATATTGTACAGTATAGTACACTTGTGTCTAAATGAAAATACCTTATTCACATAAAATTCTTTATTATATATAAGTGAACAAATTACTGTACAGTAGTACAACATACTACAGTACAGTACAATACTGTACAGTACAGCGCAGTACAGTACAATACTGTACAGTTCAGTATAGTATGGTACAGTACAGTAAAGACTGTACAGCACAATACAGTATGGTACAGTATGGTACAGTACAGTACAGAACAGAACAGCACAGTACAGTACAGTACAGTACAGTACAGTACAGTATGGTACAGTACAGTATGGTACAGTACAGTACTGTACAGTACAGTATAGTACTGTACAGTACAGTACAGTACAGTGCAGTACTGTACTGTACAGTACAATACAGAACAGTACAGTACTGTACAGTACAGTACAGTACAGTGCAGTACTGTACTGTACAGTACAATACAGAACAGTACATTACTGTACAGTACAGTACAGTACAGTGCAGTACTGTACTGTACAGTACAATACAGAACAGAACAGTACTGTACTGTACAGTACAATACAGAACAGTACAGTACTGTACAGTACAGTACAGTACATAAGTGCCTCCATCACTTCCACCACTTCTGTCACCTACCACGCCTCTGTATCACCTACCACGCCTCTGTATCACCTACCACGCCTCTGTGTCACCTACCATGCCTGTGTCACCTACCATGCCTGTGTCACCTACCATGCCTCTGTCACCTACCATACCTCTGAGTCACCTACCATGCCTCTGAGTCACCTCCATGCCTGTCACCTACCATACCTCTGTCACCTACCATGCCTCTGTGTCACCTACCATGCCTCTGTGTCACCTACCATGCCTCTGTGTCACCTACCAAGCCTCTGTGTCACCTACCATGATGCTTCACTCTTCACCTGTAGTGCTGGTAAGTGTTACGTTTTTATATATAGTAATTACATGTATACATATATGGGTCGATAATTTTTTATTGTAGTATTTTTATAGGAGGGGAAAAGTGTCTCAATAAGTTGGGATAACTGGGCAAGGCTAGAGCCCCATATGTGCCCAGTTATCGAAGGTTTACTGTAATCGTTGGTGATGCGAATTGGCGGTCAACATCCCGGGACGTAAGTTATCAGTTCACCTGTAGTGGGGAGTTTTCCCGAGAGTAAGCGATGCACCACACACAAGAGCTGTATTTATTAATGCACAAACCACTGTACATGTACAATGCAGTCAGTTCTGCTATAACGCGATAGTTGTGTTCTTGTAAAACATCGTGTTATAGAAATTCGTGGAATAGAAATAACAGGGCTTATGGAGAAAATAGGGTTAGGTGCAGATTACTACTCGAAATCGAAAAAAATTTAGTAGTTAGCCTAACACAAAGGATAGCACAGTCTAAATAAATGTTACATTCATATCTAATAATGAAATCATACAGTAAATGTAACACTTTACCTTGAAAAAATATGAATATAACTTGATGGGGGAGAAGGGTGATTTTGAGGTTGATAACATCGAGCTTCTCTTCAAGGGTTATAGCCTTTCTTTTACGATCATCACTGGGAATGCGATCACCAGAACGCTTCTTGGAGATATTCTTCTTTACCATATTCACAGTTAATACCACAAAATTGGAGAAATAATAAGCAAAAATGGAGTTACAGCAAACAAGCGTTAGCGTTATACAAATATTGTTCCTCTATTCGTAAATCGCGTTAGAGCCAATTCGTGTTGTCAAAACACGCATTATAGCAGAACTCACTGTACATTATAAATAAACTAAATACTGTAATGTATATTACTACTGTCATTTTGAGCCTACAGTAGGAGTAGTGTACATTGTTCAATCTTCTGAATGTGATACAGCTTTAAACACATGTGGTGGAGGATTAGTGGTCTCATATGACTGACCTGATGCACTTCACAGTCAGAAGCTCTTTATAGTCACTAAAACAGAGGACAGTTTAGTGATGTCCTCTCACTGACTGATAAACATTGAGCTCTATTTCTTACACAGATGTAACCAAGAAGAAACAATGACTGGACTGTAGTTCACCAGATGTCCACGAGGCGACGTTCAAATAGATGACGCCTGAACTGACAAATGAAGTGAATGATACGGTCCATATGGCGACTTGGCAGAATGACGAAGACCATAAAAGTCTGTTTACATTGCAAATAGGGAAATGGTCTTAATACAACAGCATCGTTAAAGCGAATTATTACAGACTGGAAGATCATAAATAGAGGTTTACCTGTACTTACTTTGGGTTAAGGCGCAGCTGTTAATGGCCAAACATATGTGAGCCTTTTCTTAAACCAGGTCACATTTATTATGAGTGATAAAATGATGTGAATATTGTAGGCTAAAGGAGAGGGACACACTGTGAAGTTACTGTACTGTAGTAGTAATACAATGACTAGTCAGGGTGGTGATAACCTTAGCTTCAAATATAATGGAAATATAAACATTTATTTCAGAAAATACAAATCAATCTACTGTATGTAGTGCAGTGCTGTAATAGGTTAAAGTAGTATGTAGTGCAGTGCTGTAATAGGTTAAAGTAGTATGTAGTGCAGTGCTGTAATAGGTTAAAGTAGTATGTAGTGCAGTGCTGTAATAGGTTAAAGTAGTATGTAGTGCAGTGCTGTAATAGGTTAAAGTAGTATGTAGTGCAGTGCTGTAATAGGTTAAAGTAGTATGTAGTGCAGTGCTGTAATAGGTTAAAGTAGTATG